GTGCATCTGCGAAGCCGGCATCAAGTGGCAATTGCTCTCAAAATGCTTGAGCGGTAGATAAAAAAACAAACCCCCACAAATCGCTATTGTCTGTTTTTGCTCATGAGCCGAAACATGGATTTTTTGTTTTTACCGACATAGCAAGAGCTCTTCTTTACCTTTTAAAAAATTACCAATTTTCAAATTTCAAACAACGCACAAAAATTATTAACATTCTTCAAATTGTGTACCCCTTGAAAAATTCTTCTCCTTTCATTCCATCATGAACAACAAATGTCTTTCTTTTTTTCTTTATTTCGTTCATTAGCACCATTAATCGCAATCAGAGCAAAACTCTACCCAAATGTCGGCTCTAATTCCCACCTTGCACTGTTATTTTCTCCCGTTTTCCCGCCAGGTTACATGCGGATCATCCTCATCATCTCTCACAAATCCACTACCCTCAATGAACTCATTTGGAGGAGCGGCATCCTGTCATCTGTCACTAAAATAATAGAGTGCGCGAGAAATGAACCCCTCTCTCTCTCCGGTGGTCGCCTCTTTCCTGCCGGTCCGTCACAGCTCATAATCACTGGACAAGTAATGCATAATTCTGTAAGCTGCTAAGTCTTGTTTCTGGATTCTTCCCCCGACAAGGAGACGGGACGCAGCTGCTCGCTGAGCTAGAGAGGCGCAAAAAGGGTCCATGTCAACACTAGCTGATCTCTCCCTTCTCGGATGGATGTCTTCTCTCTTCATGTAAGTATGCGCGGCATACTGGTAATTATTGCAGTACACAATTATCATTATTATTTTTATTAATACAAGATGGAGAGTGTGAGGGTGGTCCCAGAAGGAATGCAACACGAGAAGAGTAAGATTGCGGAATGCGAAAGCTCATCGGCATGTTGCTAATGACACACGACCGCGTAGCACACGGTAGATTGAGTGTCTGATTGTCCGGCTTGCTTTGGATTAGTAGGTTACACCAAATGTTACGCGTTCACACCTTATACATTTAATTAGGTTAATTTTGATGAATTATTCCAGAGAAGCACATTAGTTTTTTTCTAGTTGAAAATGGAGAATCGAACTGGATTTTCGCATTTATTAATTTTTCCTTTAAGAGTATCACGCTTCCAAAAACCGTTATTTGTCTTCACTATTCGAAAATGTTCCAAAAAACTGATATCCTGAACTTATCCAGGTACTTTTTGTTATCACCCAAAACGCCCGGAACCCCCTTATCAAAGAATTCCAATCAATTTTCTTCTTTTCTCCACGTCTTATTTTTAATCACATTTCTGAACCTGAAGACAAACCTGAAAAATGTTCTCACCAAACAATAGAACCCACATGACGCATTCTTTGTCGACTCATCCAGAAATTTTTCACTTCCGACCAAAAAAAAAAATTGACGGAGGTACAGTACATAATCACTTTTTATATGAATATTGGGTGAAATGCATGTTTTTGTTTTTCCAGTCACAATGTTTTCGTGCGATCCCAAAATAACAAGCCAAAAATTGCCAATGCACATGAAGCTTGGCAGAAAAAATGTTAATAAAGGATACTGTATGTGCCCAGTATGACTAAACAATATAATTGCATGGAATGATTACAGTCAGAAAACGGTTATACAATACGGTGCCGACATGTACATACATGGTACATTACATGATTTGTCATCAGGATTGATTATTGAATAGAATATAATAGAAGGGAAAAAAAAATAAGGAATGATGATTAATAACCGTAGATGGTGTTGACAGAAATTTTGTGACGTTAAAATTGGTTCTACCCTCGATGAATTTTAAAAATTTTGAATTTCTAGCTTCCTAGCTTCTTGGCTCGACTTTAAATTGAATTCAAGGAAAAAGGAGTACCTCTAAAATAGATATAAATATGAAAAGAGTTTCGCTACCCCCAATCCCATTGTTCCCAGAAATCTCAGCGACATCCAAAATCAAAAAGTAATTTACGCAATGAACCGAGCAGGGATTATCTGCTAGTTTGCCTCCGATTCAGGCAGTCCCATAACCCTATTCATAGACCTGTGGAGTCGCCGAGCCCTCCGAAGTCGTCATACATCATAATTTGAGGTCCTTTTCCGAACAATAGACGCGTGGAAGATAATTAATGGGATGGCCACCCCCTGCGACCCACCTTGGCCAGGAACTCCCGCTGGTTTTTGCGGACCCTCCGGTTACCTGTAAGACCTTGCACACACCGACGTTTATTACCTCTCTCGCTTCGCATGTGTCGGTAGTTGGGTGTCATGTTCCAAGAATTAGGAGACAGAATAGAGACATGAGGCGATTTGAACCCTAATCTGAGACAACAGAGAAATCCCTCTGTGTAGAGCAAAATAGGTAAGCATAACAAAGTTGACGTCAGAGATATCTTTGTGATTCGTTTTAAACAAATCTGAAATTAGATGAGCAATAGTAGGTGGATCTCAATTTTTGGCAGTACTGTAGGTACTACTGGTCCTCTCTCTTTCAACATCAAAATACTAGAATATTCCGTATTCCTTGACTCCAGACAGGTGTGTGCAAACTTCATTGTTCTCCTTGGGCCACTAGCAATTTGATGCTCATTTCTAATTGGTGATGCACAGAGAAACTGTGGCCAGGTGAACCTGTGCGAAGAGGAAGCATTAGAAGCCTAAAAACACAGTGCTATTTATATTGAGTTAAATATCCTATACCCCAAAAGTTGTGTGGGTTCGCTTTCCAAGAACAATGGATCAGGATAGTGAGAGAGCAACTCGGAGCTCAGTGGACATTGTTTGCGAACACGAATGTGATACACACAAATGGACTCGTCTTCTTTTTCTTTTCCCTACTTCTCGCCTTCCCTTCTCCCCGCCGACTGTAAATACCATTACCCGAGAGTGATTCTCAACAAAAGGTGGACGGCGCAATCCTCTCTCTCTCTCTCTGTCTTCAAAATCCGATTACCTAGTGGAGCAAGTGAAAGAGCTCCCTTGAGATCGAGGAACAAATTTTGGGCGGTGGTTGTTTAAGAGTAAACGAGATCAAGACCTCCCCGACAGAATATATCACCTACTAAGGATTGGCTCGTCCGACGACAACTACTGCTCCCCACATTGTTCATGGAAAACACAACACTCTCTGTCTTTTTCTATTTTCTAGAAAGCTGTGACCTCAGTGCCTCTCATCTCTCCCTCTCTCCCTCTCTCTCTTTCTCCCTCACTTGGACCACCCAACTACGGTAGGAAGCTGCGACCGACTTAAAATTGGCGCAGGTTTACGATAGTCACGGGAAACAAGTAGACAACGACGAGTCAGGAGGCAGAATGAGATCCCTCCGGCTCTTTCTTTCTCCCTCTCTAGCTCACTCGAAAACTTCCAGAGTCAACGAAAATATTAGTCAGTTATTTCCAACCCCCCTGCTGTGCGGTCTGAGGGGTACTTGTGGTGGTTGTGGTTGGTTCGGGCCAAAGTCACGCTTATGAATATATGGGACGAAATTGGTTGAAGAGAGAGTCCCCCGTTGTTTTCGGTGGAGCCACCAAAATCGGCAGTAGGTTCAGGCAATTTCAATCCCGAAATCTGCTCGAAAACCAGAATCAACCAGGGTATTCAGTCGGGTGACGGGAAATTCGATCGGCCACCGTTTTACCCGGTAGCCGCCAGCCAGCCAGTAGGAGCTCCGGCTATTTTTGTTTGAGTTGAGGAATTGAGACCCATTCCGCGATTCCGATTCCGATTGCACCCATCAGCAGCAACAACCCGCACTAGAAGAAACAGTATGTATGTCGATGTGTTAGGAGGTAGTGCGAAATCGAATCGAGAAGGCGAAGACGAAAACGAGACCCCGGGCCGATGTTTGACGATTCGTGAAATTCATATGCACAGTTTTCGTTGACTCTTCCTTGTTTCGCCTTGTTCTTTCTTGCTCTTCTCGTTTTCTGTCACCTCTCATGTCAGGTATCGACGTCTGTTTGTACAAAATAAACTTCTCGGTAACGACCAAATCAAGGGAAGAACATGGGTTTTAGTTTTGTGTATATATGTGTATGTATGTGCAATGAATAAAAAAAGACAGACCAAGACTTCAGAAGCCTCAGTTTTTTTGATAAGTAGGATGAGGCTGAAGCCGTGAAAGAAAGAAGAAAAGCACCGGAAACATCGCTTCGAGAAGTTTGCCACATCCTTTTCCGCTTTTCCAAATTGTTGTCGATGCTTCGTTGTTTCACCAAAAAAATGGGCATTGGTTTTTAGATTTAAAGTTTATAGATTGTAACTTTTGATAAATTAAAAAAAATTGAAATGGGAAGGAAGAAAAAAAGAGTCGATGAATTCAACAATTCTAGAATTATAGAACATGTTACTCCAGAATGCAAAACTGAAATATGAGGTCCTTCAAGAAGAAAACATTCAGTGGAAAAATTGAAACGCATCTAAATAGGTGTCTAAGCAAAGGAAGAAATATACAGTTATAGTTAAAAAATTTGGGAAGATAGATACAGGAATAACTGGGGAATTATGGAAAATGACGGCTGACACACGTGAAATGCGAGTCAAGAAATTTTATGAAACAGGAGCAGAGTTATAGAGGAAAGAACAGAAAATTAAAAAAAATCAACCCCGATAAATCACACCGAAAACTGACTAAAACTTAGATTATTACTGATTATTATAGAGTCATTTTTCGAATGTGTTGGCAAACAGAATATAGGGATGACGTATACTGTAGAAATTGGAAAAATAAGTGAAACAACCTCTGGGCACGGATCACCCTACACGGGACATTTTGTAGAAAAAATTGAGTTGAGAAATGGGATTACGAGGTAAAAAGTGAAAAAAGAATAGGTCTTGGGAAAATCGATAAAAATGCACAATTCTGATTTTCTATGATTTTAAAGCCACAGAAAGAATTCGAAAAAAAAAATAGTAACCGTTTTGAGAAAAGGTAAGGGATTTTTTGGTGTTTTGTATTCTGGTAAGAGAATTTCAAAATGTGCTAATTCTAGGGTTAGTGGCGGGTTTAATTCATGAAGAGACATGAGATTGGGAAAGAGCATTTTGAATGTTTTGAGCATGCGTCAAGTCAAGACTGTATGGGTACATCATTGGATCCTTAGAATGATCGTAGTAGGATCGGAACTGCGTGGAGTCGATGGTTCCAACGGTGGAATCGCTTCCGACTGGAGAGCTCTCCGATTTTGGTGTTGTCAAGTAGCTGCTCGTCGAGAAGTTGGTGTTCAATGGGGATGGTTGGTATTGAGATGGCGACGAGTTGTCAGTTGGCACCGCATGTACTGGGTTGGCCAGGGAGAATGGGATATGATCCATCACTCCTGAGGATGAGTAGTATGGAGCAAATCGGAATTGATCAATGTACTGGTTTGTTGGATTCCAGTTGTTGGAGATCGTTGGGTACTGTAATACAAAATTGTTGAGGATATGTGCTTCGAAGAGTAAGTATTACCGTCGGTGCCTTGGTTTCCAAGTTTCCGAATGGGATTGGAGCTCCGTTCTTCTTGTTGATCGACTTGGTTTTCCTCCTTGGTCTGTATTTGTAATCTGGGTGCTCCTGAAACAAGAATTTTGATTCAACCAGTACCAATAAAGAAAGAACTATGATGTGAACCGTCTAGATTCAATTACTGACCTTCATATGAATCGCGCGTAGCCGTTTTGCTTCATCGATGAATGGCCTCTTGTCTTGTTCGCTGAGCATCTTCCATTCTGTGCCAAGACGTTTACTGATTTCAGAATTGTGCATTTTGGGATTTTCCTGAAAAATATATGATCCATGACAATGAGTATGTTTGAATGTTACAACCCTAAGTGTACTATCTCAAAATGACCAGATCAAAGTATGAATACCACCCACTAACCAGGATATGATCTAGATCTTTGTTAAAGTTTCTTATCTAATCACTATAGTTTCTGGCAGGATTATTTCACAACTGGATTTACAGAAATCAGCGTATAACCTATTTTAGAAAAGAAGAGCGGATTAACTCAAGTGACTAGTATGGATAAGGAAACTGAGAAACACTGGTGAGATAGATGTGCATATATTAGGAAAGGATCTCTAGACATAAGTGAATCCAGAAGGTCACGAATCGAATCGTTGACGTAAACTATTACTCATTACGAATTCAATGGAGGAGTGTGGGAAATCGAGATGAGGGAGTGAAAGAAAATCAAGTTTAAGAAAAAATCAAAGGAACTAGGAAATAGGACATACCTGAGCCATTTTTCTCCTCTGCCCTCTGCTCCAAACCATGAAGGCGTTCATAGGCCTTTTTACTCTGGAAAGATGAAACAATGGTTATAATAGAACAATGGATTTGGAATACAAAAGGACCAATGAACACTGATAGTATAAGCTTACCTGTCATCATTTTTTTTCCCATCCTTCCCCGTCGAATCGGGACTGTCTGGACCATTTGATATATCATCCTGCATTGACTGCTGGTGTATATTATTAGAGGATGTGGGCGGCATCTGGAATCCGAACGTCCAGCTCGAATAATCCTGCATTTTACTTAAATCCGGATCCATCATCATCTTGTGAGACAACAATGATATGACACGTCGGGAAAGTGGTGGACACTGCAAAAGACAACCAATGTGAAATACAATAGGAGATTTTTTCGAACGCGAGGGGACCTCACGGGAGCGTGTGGAATCGCACCGATGGGAAGGAGGTAGAAAAGACAGGAGGTGATGGTGGGAAGCAAAGAAGAAGACGAGGCAAAGAAAGGGGAGGTTCACGAGATTGGGCGCCGACGAGAGGTGCACAGACAACTGTGGAATGGGCGGGGCTTCGAATACCGCATGGCCAATCGACGCGCGTGCCTTAAATGGGCGTGGCTTATTCTCTCTGTCTTTGCTAAGAAAATAAAGGGACTTTCTGTATGTAAATGATGATGACGATGAGGCTCTATGATGTTCCACGTAATATCCTCGGAGGACCCTTTGAGCTAATGAAGATGTTAACTTTTCAGATCGCCCCGCGGCGGTATAAGAGAAGAATAGGAATATGATGACGCCGTCAAACTAAAGCAAACTATGTGCAGAAAACCGTGTACAGAACAACACCTTCGGGAATAGACGAGGTATAACTATACAGTTTTCAATTTCACACGTTATTGGGCACAGCAGTTCTTAAGAGGTTTTTCTGGTTAGTTTACGAAAAAAGAGAGCGGAAGCACTCTATCTACAGTTTGAGCGAACGATCCGGAAAAATTACTTCATAATGTTGATGATCCGACCTTATAGGGATTATGGATTTTTTTTCTGAATTTCGAATTCCACCTAATTTCATAATGCCCTATAATTTATCCCTGGGTCGGGATCAGCTAGGGGGATTCCCCCGTTTTTCTTATCCTCAATGTTTCTTCAGCTTCATTCACTTTTTTCTAATTGTTTATAATCCATAAGGCTTTTCACTTCCATTCACAAAAAATTCTAAAGCGCGACACCGCCTCCATTCAACAGCGTCCCGCCTATTCAATTCGTAACACAACATTTCGGGAGGCTAATTTTGGACACTTTACGGATTAATTTAATCATATCGTTCTCGGGTGTTGTTTTTTAACGGGTTTCTCAGTTTTTGGGTTTTCAAACATTCCGAGAATGGCACAAACTTTGTCTCTTCACATCACATCATTGCTGGACTACGGTAGCGATCGGTATACTAATCAGTAATAAACTATATAAAACTAAACTCCTAGGAATACAATGGAGTCTTGATTTACAATGGATACCTGATGAAGACTATGATTTTAGTTTTGATGTAGCTGTCGTAAACGATCGTCCGTTAACAAGCTTTATTCATCCAGCGCCTCCACATACAAGGCGGCAAGCTTCACCTTCCTATTCAAACCGCCGTTCTAATCCGACAAATGAAGTGAGCGGTACCGAGCATGGTTGGTTTCCGAAGGAGATAATCCGTTAGTTATTCGAGAGTCGTTGTTGATTGTGAAAAGAAAATGGTGTGGAGAAAATACATAAATTCAGATGGGAGGTCTTAAGATGACGGCTTCTCTTTTATTTCTGTATCCCCAGGTTACGGGCAAGATGCCTGCGAAAATGAGAGAACGGAATTGGTAGTAAAATTGCATTAGAGGGGTTAAGCTACCTTTATTACATGCCAACAACACGGCTCAGACGAGAGATGACACTAACTAAAATTGACAGAAGCACGGATTTAGTATGATGTCGACAAACAGTCCGAAAGTGAGCACACCTATAGAAAATCGAGGGGTTGAGTTTTATATTTTTGGGGTGGAAGTTGATGATGAAAGCAAGCACAGAGCAATTTCTGATGGGGGGGGGGGCTCCGGGACAGACAGAGCAAGCAAGCACACATAGCAAAACGCTCTCACATACACATAGCTACAGTATCCGTGAGGAGAGAGAAACGAAAAAAAAAACGACAACTAAGGCTTGCTTCACTAGTTTTGCTTTTGCTGGGAAGGCAACGGCAAAAGACGAATGCGGCACAGAGAGTTTGGTTTGGTTTTGGTTGGAAAAAAACACTGGACGACAAAAATGAGATGGGGTGGAGAGAAATTGTGATGACGTGCGAAACAGTCACAACAGGAACTCTGGAACTATACCCCTAAAAATATTGGATAGATTCCAGGAGAGAGAAAACATTTTGGGACTGATGATCGGTTATTAAGGAGAAGAGTTGTTCAAGTTTCCTACTCTTCTATCTTCTAACCCAGAATTAAAAATGTATCGTCAATATTGTGACTGAATCTATAATCCACATCTCTAGCTTACGCCTGAATGACGGATATGGGAAAATGATGAGGAGGACGGCCAAAACGACTTCACATTTATATAAAACCAATGGAAAAAGGGAAGATCGTTTGCACGAGCAATTGAGTTAAGGAGGTTCAAAATCGGTCGATGATGATGCTTTATACCGGACGACCAGGAAAAAAACGGGAGTCGTTGAGAAGGCGACAGTGGGCAAGAAAAAAAAGAGAAGGAGAGGTAGTTTATACAGTGGAAGATGGACGCAAACGATCTTTTAAGGATCTATTGGGCACCACGAAGGTCGAAACGATCAAGGTGTGTGCGGTCGCATGCGGGAGGGCTTCTCGACTTTTTAAACGTGACTCTTGGATGCTGCACGCACCTCTGAGAGGAGTCACTGCACCACTAAATTACCATCCCATACCATAAACTACCAGATGCTACAGGAGGAGTTAATCTCAGGTCTCCTCCTTCTTTCGAAATGACACCTTATTTCCTCTGAAGCCCCCAGAGGATAGTTTATTTGTTTTAAAGGCGAATTATAAGGTCGTATAAATGAAGATGCGCCTCATTTTGCGAGGAAGAAAAACGATGATCGGTTACGACCGTTGGTGGTTAGGAGATGAGTAGAGAGTTGAAGGAAATATTGGGAATCAAGAAAATGTTCCACATCAGATACAGTAGAAAAAAATGTTAGTTGATTTCTTTTTTTTCGTCTTTTTACACTTCAAAAATTTGGCAAAATATGATGTATGGTTTAACTTAACTACTTTAGCAAAAGAGAGGAAAGCTCTTACTCTGTTGGAGGATTTATCTGTTAGACTTTTTTCCTGTTTTTTACCGAAAAATATTATTCAAGACGAAAAATTTGGAGACGCAAGCATTCTCGTCTAGCTAATCCTTTGTCGAAAATAGGTATGATTTTGAAGTGACATACGTGATATTCCAGACGTCAAGGACAAAGACATGCGTTGGCAGATAACTTACGCGAAGGTGGACATCATGTTCTTCTCCATCATGAGTAATATCCTTGTTGGCATGACGTTGACACTTTCAGCAAGATTACGCCGGTAGATTGCAGCTTATTGGTCACATGGACTAACAAGTTGAATCCAAAATACGGCATTTTAGCTCAGAAGTGCAGCGTTGAGCCTCGTAAATACAGAGTTTTTCAGAATTTCGTGTATAGTTATTTCAAAAACTGAGCAGAGGAATATATGACGACGAGGTCTTCAGCCGACAGCAGCAGCATTGTGGTTGTCTGGGCCCGTCTTCTGTGTCGTCGTCGAGTCTCCCCCCCCCCCCCCAATCATTACAGCGCATTGTTTCTTTTCAATCCACCGCTCCATTCCTCCTATTCAGTCTTTTGTATTCGTGTTGAAAGGGCGTACGCGGACGCTCACACACACAGAAAAAGACACAATTCTCATACACATACTGGCTTAGGCTCTCTTTCCTTTCTTGATTTCGTCCCTTTTTTCTCCTCATCCGAGCCATCTCCAACTCTTTCAGATATTCTTATTAGTTAGAGCCACTCCACCCGGCACCACTCATCTCATCAATTTTTATACTCACGCTTATTAGCTTTCTCACTAGTCTTGCGTCTTCTGGAGCCAATACAAAAAAAGAGGACAGTCACTAGCTGAGAAAGCTTCCGGTGGCGCAGCTGGTCCGGAAAATCGGTTTGTTCTCAAATATCTGGTTTAGCCTACTGTTAATGTTACGTTTTCTTGTTAAGCCATAATTTGCATATTTCTGTTTTTTTTTTTCGTGTTGACTGGAATATCACAAATCTGGATGTATGTATTGTTATCTCTGAGTTTCACCTTTTGTGATGCTAAGTCGTGGGAAAATTATAAAAACATCTCCGACATTTCAAACTGTAATAACTGAAATCAAGCTTTTCGGTTAGCGACCAACTGGGAGGTTTACTCCTTTTCTCCGAAACTATACACCTATGAACATGTCGAGAAGCGACAAGAAGGAGTAGGTGGGTTGAAGGGAAAATATTTGTTCACACCGTAACGAATAAGACACGGGACAACGGTAGGTGTGCACGCGTGAGACGCTGCGCATCGAGGGCGTCAAACACAAGCCATCGGAAGGGTTCTTCTTCGTCTCTAGGTCTCTGTGTTGATTTCAGAAAGAGAGAAGGAATATCGGGTTACTGTACATGAAAGAGATTGGGCGCCAAACGATGATTCTCCGCCGCTCGTTTTGCATGGCTGCCCTGGAGACCACACATTACGTCGATAGTGGGATCTTATCAAAAAAACAATTTCTGAAGACACTGTATTATGTAGTAAGTTTTGAAGTTCCAGAAATTTGGAAAGAAGCTTTTTTGGATGGTTCTATCCTCTACGCTTAATTTCCTGCAGTTCCAATAGCAACTTACTACTAAACCGTCCCTTTTGGACTATTCTCTTAACATACATCAGTTATTAATTTAACAGTCGTTTATATTATAATTCCTTTTTGGAACCTCGTATTCCCAATATGAAAAAAAATCGACTGCCAGAGCATTTTTATTATTAAATTTTTTGAAAATTGTACAATTAAATTTCCCAACGTCAACAGAACAAGGTACGTAAAGCTCAATGGCCAACATTGAAGATCGCTTTGTCCTTAAAGACACTGAACCGTAAGAAATACAGATTTCAGGAAAACATGTGTGACACAGAGAAGTGTGGATTGATAAGAAGGAGGTAATCATGATTGATGGAATATTTGAAGAATGGCTGGAGGAGATGCTCATAGCATTAGAATGTACTGAATGGGAAGAAGCAGATAGAAATCATCAAGTTAGGGTTTGAAAGTAAAGCAAGATAAGACAAAGTTCAGGATATTAACGGGAGACAGTTGAGTATGACATAAAGAATATATGATCATTGGGATTATTAGTTGTTTAAAACAGTCACAAAAACAATTGGGTTGTAATAATTTTTCGAAAAATTACAACTCAGTCATGGTTTTGGAAATTCGTACAATTCCCAAGGAGAGGTGGGTGTGTACAGTTAAATAACATGACATCTGCATGTAATTGAAAATTTTGATGGGATGAGTGACTAGAGAGCATAGGATAAGTAAATATCATTAGATGAGTTAAGGGCTTTTTGATTAGAAGAATTTGATTAGAAAAATAATCGATCAAAAAAAAGAGAATCATTAAAGAAAAGTTCTGAGCACATGGCTCAGCAGATCGTAGTACAAGAACGAATGTGAAAAAGGTGAACGGCGCGAACAGTGAAAGGTGAGACATACACACCTTCATGCCTCTTGTCCGACTACCGCCCTCTCCAAGGCACTCTCGTTTCTTGAGAATCACCCGGGCACCGCGTACTGTTTCGACCTTTTCTTGATGAAGGGGAAGACGAGAAACTTAGAGTGAAACATAGGTAAACTACAACATGAGGAAGAGGGGGAGGGGTTGGAGAAAACATGAAGAATGATGCTAGGAGACGGTGAAGCTAAGCTTGTTCTGTAATATATGCAAAACGATTGAAAGAAGAAGAGGGATGATGGTTTTGTTGGGACATGGAAGGAAATATTCAGAGAACGAAAAAAAGTGTGTTTGATAGAATATTATGTAAATTAGATCAAGCTGACATCGATATTTGGTCCGGCCTTGATAACGATATCTCCGTAGGATTCTTTCTGTTCAATGTCGATGCATTGGTTCTTTTTAAGGCAGAGGATCGAGTAGAATTTGGCAGCTGCAGTCTTCCGGCTGGTTCCCTTCTTTAACATCTCATCGAGCTCGATCTGAAAAAATTTGGATTATTTCTTTTTTTCTCCAACATCATATCTTATAATCAGTACACCTATTCATTCCCATTGTCAAAGAGAAGCACCGACGCATTCTTGTACTCACGTATGCGCATATGCTAAGTGATGCCTACGGTGAAGCTTTTGTTAGTTTTCTAAGTTTGCCGCAATATTCTTGCCAACACGCAAAACTAAAGAAAGAATGATGCTACGTTTTTTTTTTATTCCAAAAAGAAGTAGGGGGAATGATTATGCAACAGTTTTAGTGTTGAAGGATTTGCGTACTGAATAACTTGAGGTGGCAACATATGGTCATATGCGCATCGTCTTCGGGGGCAAAACTGACACATACTTAACATTATGTTCGAATTACGCAAAAAGCATAATTTATCACTTTCCGACACTTGAGACCCATGGCTACACCTTATGCTCTCCGAGACTTCCTTGAGCTTTCTATGATTCATAGCCGTACAATTTTCCTTTTTTTTCGGGGACCAAGAGAAAGCGGCCAGGTATTGTGACTAATCCAAGAGGAGAGTTTTCTCTTTTCTAGAAAAAAGTTTCCATTTGCCGCTCATTAGTACTGACCATAACCGCAATCAAAAATTGCAACAATAGTCAAATTACCAGTCGGACAATTTGAAGGATACCATGCACTTGTGGGGGGAGCGTCGGTGTACTGCAACCTACTCAAGACGACCTCCAAGACTAAAAAAGGGCATCAAGAGGTTATAATGGCACCCTCATTTCATTCTTTTTTTTCCGCGGTGTCTACCCATCCGAGTCAACAATCTCCATAAAAAGGTCATGAATTAAATGGAACTGATTACTTCATTTGGATTTGATGGGACCATTGGATCAAAAAGAGGGATGGTTGGAAATCAAAAAGTGAAAATTGAATTCTGAGATCCAGTTTATTTCCTAATAAATTGACCTCTTTTGAAAGGAGAAGTGTGAAGTAGTAGTGCCGAGACACTTACAGAGTTCAAGCAGATTTATCAACACCAACCATCTCCGGATTGGCTGGAGGACTGTCTCCGGATAGTCAACGATGGGGAAAGTGGCCTTCTTGACCACCACTAATCTTCTCGAAACATGCGAAGCCTTAGACCACCAGCATTTTCTCTTCTGGGACACAATTTTCCAATGTACCTACTTCATATATGCAGTTATGTGTCCTTGTCAGTAGTGCTATTGCGTCCACTTCACTACCCCACCACATCATATGTTCACACTTCACACGACGACGACTACATCGCCGAGAAAATGCCCTCTTCTTCCACTTGGTGAAAACCAAGATTGAAACAGTTGGAGAAGGATTTGATAGACGGAATTTCGGATATTCGTAACCTAGAGAGGAAGGGGGCCAACAAAACTTTTCAATGTGTTTTTCGAAAGAGGTTGAAGGCGCCATCAATCGGTGATGTGATGGATGGGAACATGAACACCTATGATTACGAAAGCGAAACTTCTCCTCTTTTCTCAAGGTCTTGTTTCTTTATCCAATTTGAAAATCGAAAATCAGTTGTGCCTCTTACCTGTCCATTATTCTGGTCCAACTTTCCAGCGATGGTGGTCAACAGCAATTGAGTTCTCTTTGACCAGCGGTTATCCTCATCAATACCACTCTCATCCATATCGTCTTTGTCGTCCTGCAAGAAAAACTCTATCATCACCATCATCTCATCAAAACAAATCAAATCAAAATTTTCACTAATGTAATTTGTTTCTCTATTCCGTGCATATCAATGATGCTTACATTCTCGACTACAATGAACGTCGGTGAACAACAAAGAAGTCGGTCAGAGGAGAGGTCGGACATTCTCATGGACCACTTTTTTTGCTGCGCTCTATTCTTTTGTTACTGGTTATGTTTGCACTAACATACGGCTGTGGTAACGCATAGTAACTCAATGGAATGCATGTTTGTGTGTGTGTGTGTGTGTTTGTATATGTGTTTTTCTGCGGCACCTTCAAGACTATATATTAATGTCTGCGTGTTTGATAAAAATTGTGTAATGGATACTCAGGGGGGACTTGTCAGTTTCCAGAACTTACCGCGAATTTCCTCTTTTTCTCGCTTGGCGATCCATCCTCATCATCAGTGGTACAAGTGAATGGCGACAATGGGTTTCTCTGTGGGATCGACTCATCATCAGAAATATCTTGCTGTGGCTCAAACGCCTGTGGAATGTCACACATGTCAAAGTTGTCATAGTCGATTGGAGCAACATCATCAAAGTCGTCGTTGTAGATTGGATCATCCTGAAATAATATTTTGTTCAAACTGATGCGAAAGACAGTTTCTTGTTTTCTGAATCGTTCTGTTGTCTTCTTCATGACTCGGATGTTCTAAGTAGATTAGATTACAGTCGGCTTAAAATGCGAGGACGACGCGCGCCAATGGACATCATACTAGTAAAGTTTTCGAAAACTGTGTCACTGTTTTGCACTTGACAGCGAACAGTAGATCTGTTAATCCTTTTGCAGGTATCCGCAAAGACAGCTGCAGGCGTGAAGACAGACGACACGTGAGGGATGTTTCCATATGGAGTTCGAGGGCTCCTCAGAAACATATGTTCCGGTGCTCAAGTAGTGGATTGACATACAATTAAGTGGTTAATCGTTTAGCACCCACTTTTAAAATGTGCCGCTTATTCAAGCTACAATGACATACGGTGCTCGATGTGTTTGAATTCTATAAAACATGTTTCCAGCGTGAGGGACCAGTAGGCGATCTACTGTATATCAATAAATTTTAATTTTAATTTAAAAGCTATACTCTCTACGCTTCATTCATAGGTATGTCACAGGTGACTGGTCACGTTAACCTACCTAAGCGCAGCATCTCGCTCTCATATTGTCTAATTTTATGACTAATGTCCGGGACTCATAAAACATGAGCTATTTCTATTCAAGCGTGCAGTACGAGCCTAAAGCTTCTATTGTTTTACGTGGGGGCCGGATTGCGTAATACGCGCATGTGTACCACCACCACCACCATCACAAAACTATAATTGCCGTGGTCCATACTGATCGTTGTCGTCGAACCCGTAATATCACACCTTTCTTTTTCGGTATCCTAATGCATTTCCTGAGGGGTGTGAATTACGTAAGATAGTGGTTCCCGTATGACGTGGGTACAGTTGAATAGAGTCCCGAAAGACACCGGCGGGTATCGCGCAATAGGTTTTGTTACTAGAATAACATGTTATGAAACAGTATCGTTAATTGAGAGTGAATGTACAATATGCATTAGCTGGGGGAGAAGTTGGCACAAAATTGAGAATTTGCTAGGGGACTAATCTGGAATCTTAATCCAAATTGTTTAGGAAAGGGTATACAGATTTTCTAATTTAAACCTATTAATAATGAGCAACCTCTTGAAAACTCAAATGAATAGTATCGAAACCAGTTTGTATGATTTTCTCCAGGTTCACTCTCCAAAGATGTTCAACTTCAATTACTGATCACAAGACTATTCCTAAATTCCGAAATTATGAAACTTTAGAATCGGAATATTCCGAAATCTCAAAGTTTTGAAATTTTCGAATTTTCAAGAAATTCCGAAAATGCCGTTCGCAAGATTTTTGGTTTTGCTAACTTGGCAAGTGATATGGTTAGAATATTTTAACATGAAGTACGCCTTTCTGCCAAGCTAGCTTGCCGAAACTAGCCGCCTTTCTCTTGGCATCAGAGTTTCGAAATGCACTTCTAAAACCCCACATCTGAATTCTCCTTACCTGAACCTGCATTTCCATCTCCTGCTGTTGCTGTTGAAGGTCCTCCTCTCCTATCTCCCAGAGCTGCAATGCATTTTTGATAGCCTCAACCTTCTGGTCGTTGTCTGGAAGCTTGGTGACGGTGAGATTTTCCTGGTAGGCCTGAAAATACATTATTATCGGACTGTGACTACCAACTAGACCAGATACATTGCCGAAAATCATGTAGTTTAAGCTTGCCTAGCAGTTTTCCTGTGTTAGCCATCTAGCAACCAATACGGGCAGGATACTGTATTACACGATAACTAACAGGTATGTCAGACGACTTACTCTGATATACTGCTTGCATCTGGTGAATCCGATCATGGCTGGAAAGTGCATAAGGAAATCGGCGTGACTCTTGCGTTTAGCCCACATGAGCTTGCGAGTTGGTGGAGTCAGATCGAGATGGACGAGAAGCTCTCTGAAAGAAGAATGATTATAAAAAATGTTGTCTCTAGAGTTAGTCTGATATAGTTTTTAGTGATTCTGATAATTTTCCCTGTGAAAACATCTATATTTGTCCCAGAACCAACATGATGTGTGCCGTATGACAATTTTGTACAATCAAAACACCGACTCTGATATCACCTTGTTCATATTCTGATAAAATCTTTTACGTTTCTGAAAAGCGCAAGAAATTTGTGGAATTATCGGTGAGATTGAACTCTTTCTGGAACGCTGTGACATCTATTGAACTAAAATGAGCTCTATTCTAAAGTTTTTAATTAGATTAGCCGGGCAAAGACACATGTCAAAACACATTCTAAAAGGAGTATGGAATTTTTAGAGAATCTGTTCAAAATGTTCAGGAAATTTAAGAATTTCTAGTTTCCGATAACCATAGGCAGATTGCTCCAATTTTCAAGAGCAGCTTTTGCAACCGTGAGAAATAAGTTTATAGCAATTTTCTGAGCTTGCTAATAAAAGTTTGATAAACTACGGTAGAAAGTCTGAGGCATAGCTTGCTTAATATGCACCTCCACCGTTACGGACGATGTTGGTGATCTGAATTTCATCATCGCAGCTAGCGACGCAAAGTTATCAGAATACTCAAAATTTTCAAAACCACTAACTTTTGCTAGAAAATTCAAGAAAATTGTCGAATGTTGTTGGTTTCCATAATTCAAGCTCACTTTCTGAATGTGAGTTTCTTTTGTTTCTGAGCTGTCCTACAAAATACTGTAACACAGAGAATTTACAAGTGATCTTTTACTAACAATCTATTTGATTTTTTTCAATTTCCGGTCCCTGTCTACCAGTTAGTACCTATTTTCCACCCAAATTATCTTTTCGTTAATGTTCCCGCTACAACGAAAATCTGACATCACTTTTGCCGTATGATTGTGTTAGCGAACAGTTTAATTTCAAAGTGACAGCGGATTTTTGTCTCGAAACGTTACACACTATCACGTCTATAAAGATGCTTTACACTAATGATGCCATCATCGGACATCAATGACAAATCACTGTTCCTCACCTATAATCGGCCATGTTAGCTTTCATCTCCTCTCCAGTAATCATTCTGACATCATCAAGTTTGCGCTTCTTCATGGTCTGCTCCTTGGCTTGGGCTCTTTTCTGTGCATGCTTCTCGTAGAACGATTCAACGGTGTCCTGCTCCAAAACCTGGCTGGTAGATGGCGCGACAGATGGAGTTGGGCTCTGAACACGTGGAGTTTCCGAACGAGCCGGAGTCTCCGAACGCAATGGAGTCTCGTCACGATAATTATCTTCTTCTCCGAGTGGAGGCTCTGAACGCATGTATTGGTCATCCCCATAGTCCATTTCCTCAATCGGCATATGATTGTCATGTTGATAATCAGAGGTGCTTTGGAAGTTGTGATCATCCTCATTTCTGTCATCATCGTAGGAACCACCGATGTCGTCTTCTCCAAAGATCATGTTTCCTGGAGCATGAGCTTCACCAAGAGCTGGAGTTGACTCGCGATAGCGCCCGAAGAGAGCTCCTTTGCTGTTCACCTCCTCCTGAGCGTCGAATTCCTTGTTGACGTCTTCCAGCATACGGGTGAAGTCTTCTGGGGCAACTCCAGCAGCGATCTCTCCAAAGTCATCATCCTGAAAATAAGAAGTTAGATTGTGGAAATAGCGATGAATGAAGACTGGCTAGTTTCGAAAACATCGTTTTTGATCTAGGGCCAGCTATAGGAGTTCTAATGGTAATAGCTGACAGCGCTTAGATATCCGTAGATTTTCAACGATATTGGCGTAGAAAAGGAATGCGATATTGTCGGAAGACCTCCTAAGACTGTTCGCAGCTAGAAAACTTAAGACTGATTGTTTTATGATGTAGTTGTGATTTTTTGCAGTAAACGATGGTTAAGATTTTCAGCAATCTCCGCTGGCAAACAAAAACAACGCATTCTGAAGCTTTTTTTCACAAAACCCCCATCGGATAGATTTGACGAAAAGGTAAAATACAGATCTGCATGTACTGGGCTGCGACCGTAGTCCTTTGGGCGAAAATATGAGCTTTGTCGCTTTTTGGGCGAATGTAGGCTCTTTTTCGGCAACGTTGAAGCGCAGCCGCTTTTTGGGCGAGCTTCGGAAGCATTTTCGTCAAAATTGGGCGGTAATCTGTGTTTTAGGCAATCCCAAGGCGAGGGCAGAACCATTAATTCGAACCCAAGGCGAAAGTTTGGCAGCTTTTGAGCGCTGTTCGAGCATTTTCTGGGAAACATCTTAAGCGAAGTCTGGCCAGCCAGCGCCCAAAAGAAGACAGCCACAGCCGGGTAGGATAACTGAATTTTCTGGATGATGTAGATTCGAGATTCTAGACGCTGGAAAATTAATTATACTGATTGTCAAGCGGCTTGGAAATGGCATAAAAAACTTTTCTAGTCTCTCGTACAACCTTCAATCATCACCAATATAAGTCTCGGCTTGTGCTGGAGAAGAATCTGACCAGTTGGCTGAATTTCTTTTTTTTTCCACGATTCTTGAGAGCATTACCTGCTCAACCTCCCGCCGGAAACCACTTTCGGCCAAAAGTCTCTCTTAGATAACGTTCAAACTCTGCCGAAACTGTTACATTTCCGCCGAATATTGCCCAACAATCGTCAAGAAAAACGAAAAAGCAGTTAGTAGTTTTTGTTTAGAAGAAACTTAAGCTTTAGACGACTGCAGCCAGAAATAACAGGAGCGTTTCAAGTTGCATCATCACTTTACAAGTTTGTGGCCGTGCCAAGGTGGAAGAGACTGTGTGTGGCGGCCGCGCGCGCGAAAGTCATAATTCAAATGACTTATTAGTGTCCGGCCGGTAACTTGGTGACTTAGCTTTTTTTCTCACTTGATCCCGTTTCTCAAAATTGCGTTACCTCAAGAATTGCAGTGTAGTCGTAGCTCGGCTTGAGCGGAATGTCCTCCTTCATGGTGATGTCGTCGATGCGGCTCTGGCAGATCGGAGCATGATTGAGCTCATCGTCGTCAAACTCTGGCAGTACGTTGTCGCCGAACTCTCCGTAGATCTGGAATACAATTAGATGAAATAATCGTGAGTTTTTGAAAATTGAAAGCTCGGGGGTAAAAAGCTTCCGCCGAATCTACAAAAAATCGATGAAAACTCACGTCTTGGATGGTGAACGTCGGGAAAGTCGGATTTGGTTGATCCAAAGCTCCCTTTGTGAATACAAGCTTGATCTTGAGGAAAGCTTCATTGCAGTCTGCCAGCAAGTACTTGGTCTGTCTCGAGAAGACACGGCAAATTCCCAACAGCAAATGTCCTGTGGTCCGGAGAGCCAGTTTTTGCTGTAGATTTCATGTAAATTTCAATAAAAGCCGAGAAAATCGCTTACTTGTGGCTGCATAATCTCGTTTACGGCCTCATTGACATCGGTTTCGACGATTTGAGCTTTGGACAGCTTTTTCTCCCAATGAGCAGCTAACCAAATTTTGGAAAGAGGCCCTTTCTTCGAAAGAACGAAGTCCGCATAAAACATACCTGAAAATAAATCAAATTTTAGTGAAATTCAGTGAAAATCGTGAAGAAAGAGCAGAAAAACGTTGAAAAATGCCAAAATGAGGAAAATATGTGGTTGAACAGCCGCGACGCGACCGCTCCGCTTGCAAAAGAATAGAGACACAGAGAAGGGAGAGTGTAATAGAAGGAGGGTGCAGACAGAGTAAGGGATGAATATATGGAGGGACGTCGACGCTGTGTTGTGTGTATGTGTGTGCGAGGTGAAGGACGGGAAGAGAGGTGAAGAAGAAAACAACTGCGAGAATCGAGAAAAGATATTGGATAAGATTAGAAATGGGGTAGAAGTTCGTCTTCCTTGATAGGACTAATTGAAAGTGTGAAAATGAGTGACAACTGATTCACAGATATATCAACTCCAAAGCGAAACAGCATCCAAAGAAGAGAAAGAACAATAAGTTAGAAAATATTATGACGTGGAAACTGAGAATGCAGAAGTATCCTAAGGTTTGAATGATTCAATTGGGATCACAAGTCTATCGGTTTCCTTGAATCTTGAATTACGAAATTCTGAAAAAACATAATATGAATACTTGCAGTCATCTCTGGGCTATTGTCCCTTGATGCATAAATTATTTTCCCTCCCTTTATTTTGTGGCCCCTCACATTTCTGTCGTTTTCCAGAAATTTTCCGAACGACAAAACAAGGCATCTCCGTCGAAAAGTCGCGTATCTTGAATGTTCTGGCTTCTAGAAAGTCTTGTGCGAAGTGTTTTTTGTATCCGTTTAATGAGAGTGTACCAAGAAATCGCCAGACGATTTTTGTATATTAGTGCCGAGGCGAACCAACCATCTATTTAACAAACCGAGCTATATTCTCTTCTCCCGTTTTTCATGTTTGCTCTATTCTTCTCACACTGCCCCAACATCGACAAAAGAACAAAGTTGAAAGTTTGATCAAGTAGAACATTTCGACAATTGCTCAACTTATCGAGAGAATCAAAAGCTCAGTTTTTGTTACAGTTTCTGTCTCATCGTACCCTTTCTAAACAGTCTCAGTTATTTATTTATTTCATGTTTCTTTTCGCCGCCCACCCACTACGCATTGTGACTCATTCACAGGGAGGAACCGCCCCGTCAATGACTCAATTTTTGTATTATTGGTATCCGCCTATCGCAAAATATTTTAATCATTCTTGCGACACAACCAGATCATTAAACTTGACCTTGCTCACCAAATTTCAGTCTAAATTTCCAAATTTTCCATGACCATTTTTGGGGTGACCGAAATTTTTGCAAATGTTGCAAAACCGGTTTTGTTTGCCTGTTCGCACCCAGCATAAGCATAACTGTTTAAGTATAACAAGAGTGAGAGGGACATAATTACTTTCCGATAAGAGAGAGGGCGAACGCGTTTATTGATTTTTACCCGTCCGTGGCAGTCAAACACTTCTTCCAAAGGCAGCGGTAAAATTTTCTCAGCTCTTGCTCTTTCTAAATTTCAAATCTATTGTTGGCAACTAAAAATCGCTCTAATCACCAAGAAAAAAACAGGTTGAAACGCCAAAAAATTCACGCTTTCTCGCTGCTTGAGTCACCGGTAACAGAACATTTCCGGGCGGCTGCCGACATTTTTTTTCAAACTGTGTGATGAGTCATACGGCAACTGGTCCATATCTGATTTGTTGGGATTGAGAAGAAGAACTTGAACTGAATGTTTGTTATTCTTGCTAGAAATAAGAAAGCGCGATATTCGCTGAGGAATCCCTCACACCTGCTAATTAGCACAGAACGTAGTGCTCTGTAATTGTATTAGCATTTGAATTGAAATTGAATTTTTGAACCTAGCAATCCCAATTCCCGCGGAAGAAGAAAATCAGGTAATATTTAGGCTTCAAGATCAACTTTGGTCGCTTACACACGCTCCGTTGCTTTTGTAGTACTACTATATTAGGTTACTCTCATTTACGGAATTACTCAACCTCAAAGATCATACTTATTTTCTTTTTCTCTTTTTTCTCTTTTTCTATGCATACCAAAATTATTTCATAACGTTTCTCCTGGATCATACAGGCATTGATTGTTGCTTTCACTCATTTCGAAATATCGGCAAACGCCCGGGTGTTTTCATTACTTTTTCATTACGAAATAATCAGAAATATTTATGCTCCGCCTGTATTTGTTCTCAGGGAGAAATTACAATTTTTCTAGCGAACCATTTTTTCTACTCCATTTTTTAAGAGACAAAAAAAATCTTTGGGGGAAGGAGGGGGGAAGGAGGTTTTTCTCTTATTGTCACATGACAATCAGAGAGTATCACCATTATTATCAGTGGAAAGTGTTCCCAATTTCCGCCCGCACTAGTTTAGATGTGTGTCTCGTTCATTGTTTTGTGTCCCCCTCCCCAATTTCTTTCCCTCATAAGTATCAAGCCGCGAAAAATACCGAAAATGAGAGTATGAGGAGAAAAAAATCTGTTCGGGATATACAATACCGTTCGCAAAATCCTTCTGTCGGTGGGGGCATGTTAACCGGACGAGAAAAACAGGGTGAAAACAAAAAAAGAGAACGGACCGCCAATGTTTTGCGAACGGGAGAAAGGAGGTGCGCACGCGGTCGCGTCGCGGCCCAGTGTTCCAACGTAACTTTTGCACTTATTTACGCACAGTGTGTCTCACAGGGCTGTTTGCATTTTTTCCTCCCTACCTCGTCTTTTGCTTCCTCTTCCTCACATCGGCGCTGTTTAATTGAGACGCCGTCAGGGTGCGTACTCTTGCGGTTTTGGTTTTTTGAACGCATTGTTGTTTTTTTTCTCTCCTCCGACAGTGTTTTCACTATGATGCAATTCGATTTAATCGACGTCTATTAGAAGGAAAGTAAAGGAGAAGTTGCAAACTGTTGCGGTTGCAAAAGCCCCTCCTTGAACTTTCTTTTCTGTCTGTGTCTCTCTTTCTTTTCCCAGGACCATCACACTCTCGCCGCCTAAGCTAATAGTTTTTTCAACTTTCTGCTGCTATATTTAGTATGCTAAACAGCAACCAAAAGCTCTGCATAAGAGTTGTTGACGCAAATGAAGCTTATTTTCTAATACAACAACAAAACCCCAGATACATTGTTCCTAATCTCCTACGTGAACTCTTTTAAAGTGCAAGTAGCGAGGCAAAATAGTATACGGGAGCAAGAGGAGTGGCGCCGAGAGAAAATAAGATATATTTTGTTGTCGTCCTTCATCTATTCATTGGCATCTGCAATATCTCTGCGCTTCCGTCAACACTAAAATCCCCATCTTAAGCACACACCCCTTTTCGGGAAGAGTTGAAATTGAATAATGCGATTGCTCTGATCATTTCACAGATTTTTCTTCCGTTCTTGCTTGTTAATCGTATAAACGTACGAAATTTGAGCTTTATTAACATTTCGTTTTTACAGTGATGGACCGAGACTTCGGGTTGGGAGGTTTAGGCCTCAATGACACTCCGAAGATGCCTTCGAAGCTGGTTCCATCTCCACGCCAGCCACCATTGGTACCACCGACCATCCGTGGCAACAGCCACAACGTGCAGACGTTGTTGGAGCAAGCCGAAAAGAACTCTGGAGCTCTCACGATCCACGGTATGAAGTTTAAAACTTTTCTCACATTTTCAAACGCAAAGTTTTAGGTGTCACACACAAAGCTGAGATCAAAGAGTTGGATTTCATGGAAGATATTGGACACGGAAGCTGCGGTACTGTAACCAAATGCAGTTATAAGAGTTTCACGATGGCTGTGAAGACTATGCCGCGTACAACGAACAGTTATGAGATGTCCCGTATTCTCATGGATCTTGATGTTATCTGCATCTCTTTCGACTGTCCGTACATTGTCCGTTGTTACGGCTACTTCATCACTACGGTAAGCTAACTTCGAAGGCATTCTTCAACTACATAATCCAACTTATTTTCAGTACGACGTCCGTGTGTGTATGGAGTGTATGGCTACATGTCTTGATCGTCTGCTCGATCGCATCAAAAAGCCATTTCCAGAAAGAATTATCGGCAAGCTTAGCATCAGTATTATCAAGGCTCTGCATTACCTCAAAACAAAGCATGTAAGTGTCAAACATAAATACGTATTAGGGAGCACTTAAGCGAAAAAAGCTCATCAATCATCCTTACTAATCCGTTCTTATTGTTTCCAGCAAATCATGCATCGCGATGTCAAGCCATCCAACATCCTGCTCGATTGGAGTGGTGTCATCAAGCTCTGCGACTTTGGAATCGCTGGGCGCCTGATCGAGTCGAGAGCTCATTCGAAGACCGCTGGATGTCCGTTGTACATGGGACCAGAGCGCCTCGACCCGAACAATGATGACTCGTACGACATCAGAAGTGATGTGTGGTCGTTGGGACTCACGTTGGTCGAGTTGGCCACCGGACGCTACCCATTCGGTGGTTCGGAGTTCGAAATGATGTCCAAGATTATCCACGACGAACCACCACGTTTGGATCCCGTAAGTGAAAGGGTGTCTGAAATTAGATGGCTAGATGGCAGGAAAATAAAAATTATCTTACCAGGAAACATACCATTATTCTATTTTCAGACCATGTTCTCGGCTGAATTCTGCGACATCGTGACGTGCTGCCTCCAGCGTGACCCAACAAAACGCATGAACTACGACCAGCTTCTTCAGCACCCGTTCATCTTGAAGCACGAAGGGGTCGACACCGATGTTGAGGAGTGGTTTGCTGATGTCATGTGCGACAGCGAATAGGCATTGTTTGTTTTGTGATCCTTCCAATTGTGATACCAAAAACCGTCTCTTTCAAACACTTTCTAATTCTGGTCAAACATTGAGCTTGAGCTCTCTCCCACTTTGCAGTTTTAAATTTTTTTTTGCTACTCAAACAATTCTCTTCTTTTTTCACTTTTTTCTCAATTACGGATTATTCTATTGTACCTTTGTTTTCTTTTAAAACATTGAAAAAACAACAACAACCCATCTCTCGCACCCTAAGTCTCACCCGCAATCCCGTCAACTAAACTTCATTAAGTATCCCGGATGTATAGAAAAACGTTCTAGGACTTTCATTGATTGTATATTTCGATGTGTCTTCTCCATAAGAAAACTAAGCCATCCTAATCTAATCTCTCTGGTTGAGATTACTGTGGACATTCAAAAATGTGATTACGAATTACTCAACGGATGTTTTTTTTTGCGATATAGTCAATTTTTCTTTTGGGTGTCTTTAACCTATGAATCGTTTTGTGCAATTTTTATATTTCATGTTATGAATAAATACATTGAAATTTTCAAAATACATTTTTCTTATTTGTGATCTAGAGTAAAACCTATAATAGAAAGGACACCGAACTTTTAACTTTGAGCTAGCACTTCTCGGTTTGTGTCGAGGACATGAAAAAGTTGTTAACTAATGTATTATTCATCATAATATCAGAAATTTGTTGTCAGTTGACACATTTTTGAAACATTTCACAGGAATTGAAATAATTGACCTCAAACTTAACAGTGCGGGGACCCTTTTTCTACACTCAAATTTGTGAGAAAAGTGTAAGGAAAAAGTACAAGTAGAACGGAAAAAGCGGAAGGAAAAATAAATCAATCAATGAAAAGTTGATAACACCGAAAACACCTGCCCTATGAAAAGAGATGCTTACTCAACAAAAGGATTCTCGCTCTGTCATACACTTCCGCAGGAAGGAGCCCTCTCAATATTATTGGGTATTCGCCCCTCCTCGATTGTCATGGTAACCAAAGGGACTCGAGGTGCTGGCTAGTGTTCCCCTCCCTCGTCACGCCCGCCCGTCCGTCTTCCGCAAGGGCCTCAATTCATTTCCGTGAGCTACTGCATACCTCTTCAACCTACTACCTTATTTCTATTGAGCAGCATGTCTCTGTCTATAAAAGGTAGATGTTTTCTTTGATTATATGATTTTTACTATATTTTCAGGAAAAGCAGCTCATATTGCTCCAAGGCGACGGCTAAGCCAAGGAAGATCTGATCCGGTTAAAATAGATCAAACTAGATCGCAGACAAGCCACGGTAGAATTGATCAAAGTACTTGCAAGCAACCCGTGTAAGTTTTCATTAGCTTAAAATCACTTCTTAGAATGTACGGAATAAACAAGCAACTTTTTTGCAGCCATAATGCTACCGACCATGAAGCCAATGAGATTTCCAATCTTGCTGACCAATATGCGCAAAGTCTTCAGCAACAAATACAACTTTTGCAGATCGAAAACACTTTTTTGTAAGTGCAATAAAAACAACCAGAAATCAGAGTGGGAAGATTTTTAGAAAACAACAATCCCAGAAGGAGGAAGAAGCAGCAGCAGGGGAAAGGATTAGGCAGCAAGAGCTAGAGGAAGAGCGGTATCGGGAGGAACAGTTTCAAAGAGAACGGGATAGGGAACGGGAGATTCACGTTCGCGAAATGGAAGAAATGCAACAACGGCGCTCGTCAACAGCATCACAGAGAGATCAGTCGCGTCGTGGCACTACCACAAAGATTTTGGCAAGAGGAAATGAGGTGAAAATAGAATAGTTAGTTTATTGTGAAAAACAGGAAAAAATGATTCAGGTGTCGTTGAATGGAGAGACGTGGTGTCAACTTCCGTCGTACCATCCACCGATTCCAGCTATCATCAGTGACCGGTCTCAGTTTTCGCAACGGCTTGCGAGAGAAAGAGTGAGTCTAGTAGTAGTGAATGGGAGGAGAAAGAAGGAGAGTGATAATTATAGGAAATAGAAGAGAATTTAGGAATCGATGTTAGTACAACTAGACAGGAATTATCACGTGTGGAGCTCTTTTAGAGCTCAGAATAAAATGTTTATTGATCAGTAAGCAAAGTTTAGGATTAATGTGGCTTGATTTGGTGATGTGATGCAGCATTTGCAAGAAGTGTGACAATGAAAAAAGTGAAAAATGTCTATGAAATTAAAGAAGGAATGTCTGTGACTATAATGAATTTTGTATGAATTTTCGATTTTTCTTCGTAAATTAGGCAAGAATAGAATGAAAAGTGAAAAAAACATTTTTTATCTTAAATCATAGTTTTAGAAAGAGCGGCTCCTCAAGTATACGGTTTTTTTTGTGAAATTTCGGGTTTTATGCTACATTTAATTACAAAAAAGATATATAACGTAAAAAACTATCATACAGCGCCACCCGAATCGCTAACTGTGAGTTTATATATCTCATTCTTTGGGAATGATATCAAGAACTAGTCACCTGATGTAATGTTTATCATAACATCACCAATATTTCATCAGTTGATAAATTTTTATTATCTTTCATGGGAACCGAGATAATTGAGGTTAAAGTGCACATATAGGGTGTGTTTCTATTATAGAACGTAAGTATTTAAATGTCGACTAACAATTTTCATTAGAAATTGTATCTCAATTGTCTCAGTTTATTACAGAGCTACGATTCCTACGTGCGCGACCGACGTGAATATAGTGTGCCATGTTACCCGCGTTCTCGACACGCGAGCTCTATGAGGTTAGTCATATTCCAATTAGTCACACATCCTCTCATTTGCTTCCGTATTCAGAGAGCGCTCATTCGTTATGAGTCAGACATTGGAACGAGAGGAGTCTTTGATAGAGACGTTAGAGGACGCCTATGAAGTGAGAAAACATTCATTTGAGATTGTGCAAGAACTTACGAATTTCAGAGAAATACATTGCTAGAGAAGGAAATCAGTGCTAACAAGGAAAAAGAGATTGACTTGGAAAAAGTTATTGAAACACTGTCGATGAGGATGGAAGAGTTTGAAGAGGAAAAACGGAAAGAAATTAGTAGTGATGAGAGATACTTAAAACGGAGAAAGCAATGACTAACTTGCAGACGCAATGCTGACTGAGAAAAAGGGTCTGCTAGAAGAACTTCTAGACATGCAGAAACGAATCGATGAGCTTGCTCCGGCGTGTGCAGAGAAAGAGCTTCATATTGTGGCGGCCGATAATGAGAAACTCGATCTAACGAAACGGCTCAGACATGCGAATACTGATATTTCACACCTTCAGGTGATCAGAGAAAAAAATTTATCTGTCTCGTCTCTCATGACTCCTTTTTTATTTGCAGTCAAGCGTAATGCACCTTCAAGAAGATGTTTCCAAGAAAGACAGCGAAATAAGCGCTCTCTCCGCAGAAATTGGATATTTGAAGGGAAGAATAGTGCTGTTCGAAGCGGATATACGTGATTTGAGACTCAAAGATTCTGACAACCAGGTATGAAAAAAGAGTCACGCGGGAGGTGTTACATATAATTTATATTTTTAGGACAGAATAAGAACTTTCACACAACAATCACGAGAATTTGAGCTGACCAGAATCAATGACAAAAAGCTCATTGATAAGGTAACAGACTCTATTATAGTTGAAATTAGCAGGATATATTTTTAGGTCATGGAAGAAAACTCGGTGTTAATCAAGGAAAATGCAAAAATATCCACTGAACTGAGTCGCCTGGAGAGCTTGGACCTCAAAGTGAAGCAACAGGAAATTGCAGAGGCTCACGCAAATAGTGAACTCGTCACAGAACTCAAGGCTGCGCTCCAATTAGAAAAAAGTTCAACGCACAGCATGCAGAATCGAGTGGAAATAATGAGACAAAAATGCGAAGAGCTGGAGAGAACGGTTAGAAAAAAAGATATGCAGAGAGATTACCATCATTAATTCTCCTTTTATTCAGATTCTTGACAGAGACAGAACTGAAGATGAGAACATCGCGGAACGGAGCCGAGTGGAGAAGGAGCTTAACGCTCTACATGCTCTTTCCAAGTCCCTTTCGGCGGAGAACAAAATGCTGAGAGAGGAGAAATTAAGCAATGAGGAGATTATAGATGAGCTTAAAGGAAAAGTGAGGGCCGTTTTGTACGCGACAAGAGAAAATTAATGGATTTCGTTTCAGATCCGCGCACTCGAGCAGAGTATCAAGTCGGCACAAGGGTTATATCAGGAGAAAGAGAGGATGAGTGCGGAGAGAATTCAGGAATTGCAGCAAGATGCGTCGAAAAAGCATCAAAAGTATTTGGAGTTTGAAGAGATTTCCAAAACCTTGCAGCAAATCACCTCTTTGCTTCCAGCAAAAACGTCCAGCATGACTCAGCTCTCTCCGCAAAGTGCACCGAGAGATTGCTCAAATAGAAACCACTTTGTTGAAAGAATGAACAAGTAAACGTCTCCATTCATGTTTTGTGTCCCAAAAACAATCAGATGTTGTGAATTTTCTCATAAATTACTTATTTTCACCATAAAACATTAATAAATCATTAAAGATTATTCGAAACAGTAGTTGAACACAGAAAATGGGCTTCTATTGTATTAAACACGATAAGAGTGTGAAACTGAAAAAATAGTTATCTCTCTGAAAGAATTTCATTCTCTACACTAATCCAAATTATTTTAGATTTTACCAAAAATAGAGATCTGACGACTTTTGATGATTCGAAGTACTTGGATTTTGTGAATTTTTGAAAATTACTTTCGTACAGTTTCATTTGAAGCCAAACATGGAATGATATTTTTGAAAATGGACCGTTTTCTCACTCAAAAAAAAGAAAAACTCTCTGACTTGTAACTTTGAGCCAATTTATCTCGGCACCTGTCAAGGATACAAAAGATTTGTCAAATCAGTTGATATGTTTTTTCTATCTTTTACAGTACCGAGATTAATTGATTTGACTCAGAGTTGGAGGTGTGAGGGCATCCCTTTTATTACAGGTTTTACGATAGTCTGGTACGAATTTTTGGGGTTGTGGAATAGACACCAGTGCTTTTTCCAAAATTCCTAATCAAACCCAAAAATAACGATATTTTTAGGTTACGGTAGTTTCCGCTATGGAAACCTTTGGCCACGGCTATCGATGTTTCTTTTCCACAGCTTTACTATTATTTGTAACATCATAATATTTATAATTCCATGCTGAATGTTGAATCAAACTTACGGAAGCTGAATAAATTGTTCTTTTTCTGAAAGTACTCAATTGTCTACAATAATCCAAATAATTTTTGATTCTCCAAAAATTGAGATCTAACGATGTTTGATGATTCAATGAATTTTGATTTTTTGGATTTTAAAAAATATTGTTATACGGTTTCATCTGAAGCCAAGAATACAATAACATTTTCTATTCTTCAAAATGTGTCGCTTTTGCATTCAACTATAAAAATAGTTTTCCACATACACTGATGTTGAATATCAGTTCCCCACAAGTTTTCGCAAGTGTTCCCAACCGATAAAAACGTTTCAAACTTTTTTTTCAACTTTCTTCCATTAAACCAGAAACTTTGTTTTTTTTCCATTTCCCCAAAAACTTCTCAAGTCGAAAACTGTACAAAAGTACTTGAACCAGTTTTTTTTCTCTCTCTCTCTCTCTCTTTCAACTCAGTTTTAAAAAGTGACAAAGATCTTTCCGCAGGACATTTTTTCTCATAATCTTGTTCTCTTTTTATCAGATCCTTCTTTTGTTTCCAAACACACAAGGAAATTGAAATGAAACGAATTAAATTTGAAATTTCCGAGATTTTCCTTCTCTCTTCTTATTTCCCTCTCTAGGTCAAACTAATTGTACAAATCTCTTCTCACTATCTCTTTGTTTTTCAATCTACTATATCCCGATTATCCTGTGCAATCAGATCGCAGCTGTCCTCTTCCATCTCCTCTTTTTTCTACCAAATGCTAATAAATTGTATGTTGAACCCTTTTCTGCCTCCCTTCACGTTTTCTTCATTGGTTTCTCACTCTCGCCACACAAAACTAGCAAGAGGTTTAGAGAAGATTCGGGGACTAGGACACCAGCTAGCGCGCATTTGTTCGGCCGCAGGCCTTCACTCGTCCCGGCCGCCGGGTGCAGTTGAAAACGAAGTGAAGACCGACGACTCACACACTCGCATCTCCTCCTCTTCTTCGTCGCCCTTCTCGTTTTCCATTCATAGTCTCGACTCTGTCGCTGTGTCGTTATTTCAACGCTTCTAGAATATTTGAGAGGATCGACGCGACAACAACGTGTGTTTTCAACACTTGTCCTTCTTGCTCCGAGGACCGTCGACGCACATGAAACGGGTGCTCCGTCGCGCCGCACCAAAGCACGCGAGCACACTGTTTAAGGTCATTTGCATTTTGGTTTTATGCTCCTTCATCTTCTATCTACGCTCGGAGGATCGTGAACTTCGAAATGTAAGTTTCAGTATTAAAAATTTTGGGCCCAGAGGTCTCGGATTTAATCTAAAAACGTAAAATATTTTTTAGGATTCTATCATCCACGCTCCAGGTTCAAGTTCCAGTAATGAGGAGGAGATTCTAAAAAGAGTAATATTTTCTTCCACCTGTTCCAAAGAAAACCCAAAATTTCAGAATATGAGCAATGACACAACCTTTGTTGCAGCCGTCCTAGTATTTTGTGCCACTAGACCAGATGCTCTTAGAAATCATTTATCACAAATTTTAGCGTAAGTCCTTCACTTTTTTCTTCGAATACTTTTGTTTCACCTGCTGTTTTTAGCCAGCGACCATCACAATTCCAATATCATGTCATCATTAGCCAAGATGGTAACAAGACCGCTGTCTCCCAAGTCGCTCAACGTTTCGTCAAAGATTTCAAGAACGTAACACACATTCAAGTGAGTTTTTTCCACATATGTTATCCATCATAAACTTTCCATCATAAACTTTTCTATTCCATTCTCTCAGCATGAGAAGACGGAAATCAAAAAGCGGAACAACTACCCAGCAATCTCGGCGCATTACAAATGGGCCCTGGACAAGGTCTTTAAAGAGTTCCGTTATGATCATGTCATTGTGACTGAAGGTTAGTGGTTATACGAATGGCAGCTCCATTACCTCCAATCGGAAGGAAACTGAAAGTCATGATGATCATGTTTTTTCCTTTCAGACGACCTTGACATAGGTAACGATTTCTTCTCGTATTTTCATTGGGGGAAACAAGTTCTCAAGAGTGACGACACTATTTGGTTAGTTGTATATACTTTTTTGCTTTTATTATTACAGGAAACGTATAAAATATACAATTTCCATATTCTTCAGGTGTGTGTCTGCATGGAATGACAATGGAGGTAGTTCTATCATTGATACTGAGCGAGGAGACTTGGTGTGGAGGACTGATTTCTTTCCGGGATTGGGATGGATGCTCTCGAGGGAGCTATGGGAAGAACTTTCTCCAGGGTTTCCGGTAGCTTATTGGGATGATTGGATGAGAAAACCTGAAATTCGAAAAAGCCGGTCATGTATCCGTCCGGAAATTAGTAGGACCTCTCATAACATGAAGTTGGCTGGAAAAGGATCAAGCGGGTGAGTAGCCGAAATACGAGAAGTTTGGCTTGCTAAGTTAGATGAGAAATATCATATTTTTTGTTAAGAGAAGCTAATGAGCCATGTTCAAATTTCAGTGGGATGTTCAAAGACTATCTGAGCAAAATCAGTGCATCGAGCTCTAACATTGACTTCTCCCTCCTTCCTACTAAAATTGTGCAGAAAGAGTCGTATGACAAGCGGTTGATTGAAGAAATTGAGGTATTGCAACTCCTTCTTATAGAAATTCGTATAATTGTACATTTAGAATGCGCGACCCATCGACCTGGAGAACGCGACGACTAGCATGGAGAAAACCTACAATTACAAGTGGGAAACCCTTGTTTTTTTCTCTAATTTTGCATTGTTTTTAGAATTGCATATAAAAACATTAGGGACTGGCATAAATACGCTGCCAAGTTCAAGCTGATGACAGATATTCGGGTGAGAACTGGTTTTTTTTTTGAAAATCCCACAAATGCTTAATTTAAGGGAGGAATGCAAAGGACTGCCTACTATGGAGTTGTCACCCTGATGTACAAAAATTTTCGAGTGTTTGTAGTTCCTGAGTCCACATACCAGAAACCGTCAGAACTTGCCAATTATGTTTATGACTCAGATTGGGACAAACAAAATCGCTTTGTAGAGTTTGAAGCCTACTACTGTACCACTAAAAAGTTGGTTTTTCTTATTACAGTCTTTTCTAAAAATCTAATTTCAGGTACACTGGAAAATGTGATCCGCACAGTCTCGAGATGATTGCGTTTTTCAAGCGGAAAGGATGGAAGAAACGGCTGGATGATTGGGGCGAGATGATAGTTGTTTAGTGAACAAAACGAGGTAAAGGCACGCACATCGACAAATATATTGGAATGAATCATGTTATGGTCAGACGGGAAGAAGGGAAGAATACAAACAAGCTCCTCTCTTTTTACTCCATAGTTGTGAATCACACAAGCTATTTTTCATGAGCTCCAACATTCTTTTGGTTCTATTCTTATTTTTAATTACAAAAAGCGTCCATGGCTATGTTAATTGCGTTAACTCATTCAATGGGCGCTCTTTTGGAGTGGCACAATGCGCAACAAACTATTGCAAAAAGTATACGGGGGGCAGTGGAATTGTAAGTAGACGGAATAGTTAGTATGTCTGGGTCATTTCTATCAAAAATTTTGCAGGTTCAATTGTCATGCGACGATACGGGTGATTGTCAGCGCTCCTTCGAGAGAACATTTATCGGACCAGTCCAAATGTATGCTTGTATGTCGGACCAATCTACACGCCAAACTTGCTGTTGTAACTATGATTTCTGTAATGGTGCTTCTTCTTTAAAATCCCATAATATTTATTTAATTTCAATTTTTACGCTTCTAATTTATTCATTCCATGGCTTTCTTCCTCATTTGCCTCTGCTCTAGATTGTTTTTGCTTAGCTTTTGCATCTTTCAGTTTTTCCACAATATCATTGATATGCCTATCCTTGGTCTCCGGTAGATATAATATCAGCATTAGTATGCACACAGCTCCCGGTATCACAAAGAAAATGACCAATGTAATGGGACCTGAAATGTTTTGTTATTTTTATCTAACACGCTTGTTTTCACTTTATAGGTATTTAATAAAACTTTCATATCTCTTACCAATTGTTTTGTAGAGAGGGAATGTAAGGAATGAGAGGATCAAGGCTACAGTATGATTGAGTCCAAGTACCAAGGATTGGGAAACTGCTCTGAAGTTGATTGGAACTAATTCAGATGTGATAAACCAAGCAATTGGTCCCATAGCGACACTGAAAAAGTGTTCTATTGCAAAATAAAGTAACCCTGAAGTACCTGTAAGACCCTCCATGGAGAATGAGGCAAACTATGCATCCATAAGCTAAAGGCTGCCAGTAGATTGACAAAATAGCACTCAATGCAAATCCGAGAATCGCAAAGATGTTGATTGTAGCTGTTCCTATCAGCAACCATCTCCGAGAAAATTTCTCTACAATAAACATTCCGACTATCGTGCACAAAGTACTGGAAACATTAAAATAAATTCCGAAATTTATATGTAACAACAATACCTAAAGAATAGCATGAATGTCGATGCACTTTCCGATATCTCATAGGAAAATCCAGCGTCCATCAGAAAATCAGTCGAATAGAAGACCACTGGCCATACAGAAGCCGTCAGTTGCATTGTAGCAAATCCAAGTAAAAATCCGCGGCGGACAGGTTGGTTGGAAATAATATCAAAAATTGATCCATGTCTTTGATTTTGCATTTCCTCTCTTTCCATTTTCAGATCATTTAAAACGTTTGCCTTCTCTTCTCCATCTTGAATATTCTGATAGAATTTCAGCGCTCTGCCAGCTTCTGTAGCATCATTCTTTTTGAGAAATAAGTACTTAGGCGACTCTTTCAAAAATACTGAAAGGAAACAAGCAATCGAAGATGGAACTATGGAGACTCTAAAACACTTGATTTATTTTTCTCTCTAAAATTGCATCAATTTACGCAATGAGTCCCACTAGATTCTGTCCCAGGATAGATTGCATTCCCAAAAGTCCACCGATAAGATTAGTGAGAACAAATGCCATCTCCGCATTGAACGAGATCAATCCCTTCATATGATTCGGTGAGCTCTCCTACAATATATATATATATATATATATATCATTCATAAAAAATCATCTCCAATGTACTTTGCCCAATGTGGTTTTTGCTGTCTATCATGGGAAACAGCTTCTCTTCTCTCTCATTTTTCATTCTGGCCTCTTTTTCGAAATGCATTTCATGTCGGATGAGCTTTTTATGACCGTCCATGAGCTTCTGGTGCATGCCATTAGTGAAATGAAAAAAAAGGGAAAAGAGCGAGAAGAGAAGAGCTTCTGTTTCAATTTCTCGGAAAAAGGGAAAAATGGAGAAATCCAATGTTTACCGAAACCCACTTGGAAGAGTAAAATGAGTCCATTCATAGAAATAGCTGAAGAGAGGGACATTACTAGTCTTGAAAATCCAAACATCATTGACATTTTGAGAATTATTGAGAACAACGCAATTAAAGCAGACAGCAAATTTCCACATGTTCCCAGAAACAAGGTCCCTGAAAATCAAAGATTGGATTTGTCTGTAAACAATTCAATTCACATTTTCTCCCAATTCTATCCGCAATACTGGCAGAAATTATGCTTCCGGTCGCAAATCCAATAAAATAAACAGCTAGTAGAGCGGACCATGCCCATTCGAATTCACTTTTTGACATTGTCATGGGATCCTCAGACGATTGGTTCAGGAAAAGCCGAAAACTCCCAATAGCTGTGTTTGGGTACGCATTTGTATAGCCCATCTGTAGAAAACTATTTTACCGGATGATTTTAATTATAGGTTTACCTGAAATATAGCTGTTACTGCTAACAGTGCAGATAATGCCAGTAATCTCCAGTTTATATCGTGCATCTTCTGGAAAAAAGAAATTTTCAGAATCGTAAAGCTTAGGAAGAAAGAAAAATTCGAAATTCTAGAATGAAGGAAGGCACATCACCAATAGCAACCCAGAGATGAGAGAACAATAATAGAAGCTCAGTGACGTCAAAGAATAATTTTTCCCAGAGGGTAGTGGAAGGAAGGGAATTTTTTCTCAGAAAATGTTATCAATCGAAAATTTAATCAAAATTTTTCTCACCAAATTAAATTCAATATATGATATCACAGATCACATATGAACTGTGATGGCTGGCGGTAGAAATAAACGTTGTCTGTGTTTCTTGTAACAAGAAGAAGGTTTTTTTCATCTTCAAAAGGCGAAGAGATGATGCAAATACCTTTTACGTACCTTGCCAACCAGCACATCTGCCTTCTCAAAGTGCAGAGTAAACACAAAAAGTGCATGGGAACCAAAGGGAAATCAATACACTAACGGACCACGCTGTGTTCATTGCATCATTTTATTGCGAAATTTAAAAGAGGGAGAGAATAAGGAACAAGGGGAAAATAAAGAAGAATGCCAATTAGAAACATTTGTCCTGAGCTTCGAAGACGCTCGACTTGTCAACATTTTCAATGGCATGAGCGAAGGTGTTGTCTCCGAATACCACGAATTGCATAGTCTGGAATATAAGAATGAGAAAATATCCGAAAATCCACATTTTGTAGTGTATAAATGAGATTATTTACTCTACCCTCACTTTCCCCCTTGCCACTTTTAATCTCATATTTCTTGTTTGAAAGTCCAAAAGATAACAAATCAATTTAACCCTTCGAGGAAGTGGCGTATTGTGCTGTCTGATAAGATCATTACTACAAAATGCGGTTTTCTTTTTTCTTGCCTTCGAACAACGATGTTTTTGTTGATTTTTTTCACACTTCTCACCTGAACATCGGAGCAACTGAAGGTCAAGGTGCTGTTGGTATCTTGGTCAGTCTGAAATTCCCAAGAATTATTATGTGTAAAAAATAAGAAATAGAGATCTTACATCACGGCCGAAGAGTCCGTTAACCACTCCAACTTGGTGCCATTTGTTCTCCTCCTCATTGATGATACACTCGAGTGGAGCTCCAATGTCATCCTACAGGTATCAAATTTGAGTGAAAAAAATTGCTTTTAAAGACAATTCTCACCCAGCAAAGACGTCCTGTAGAGTTGGCATTGATTTCCGAGAACATGAGGTTATCCTCGTCCGCGCGGACGTCGAGTTCCAAGACTTGAACATCAGTGGAGGTGGCGAACTTCTCGACTGAAAAATATATACTTTTTTTTGGTTCATGGGATCATTACTCACCATCATCGTTGGTTTTGAAAGCGACCACTCTGCATCTGGAGTCCTGAAGCTGCTTTGGCTTGATGTTTTGGTAGGTGGCCTCCGTTAAGCTTGGCTTGAAGTTCAAGCGAGCCACTCTTGGTGGGTGGGGCTCCTTGTCGCAGAACTGAAACCTTTTTTTAATAATTTCTGAACATGGTGTTAGTTTCTTACGTGCTCATCGTCAACCGCATCGATTTTCATTAGCGCCAATCCTTCATCAATTCTGACGGCGAGCATTGCCTTGTTCATGATGTCGAGCGAGTCCTTCTTCGAAATGATGGCTTGAGCAGCGGTGTTCCTTCAAAAATGCAAATACAATTTGTAAAATATTGATGAAAACTCACTTTCTGTCTTCTGGGAAACACTTTGAGCTGGTCAACACGACGGATGGGGACAGAAGGGATCCAGTGCAAGTGGATATTTCTCCGGTTTTCACGTCTTTAGTGAGAACCTGTACTAATTATGATCATGAAGCAAAGAAAAATCTGAAACAGTTACCTTGACCAAATACTGATGACGATTCCATTTCGCTGTATCAGCCAAATACATAGACAGCGCAAACGCGACAAGCGAAGCAGCAACGACCGTTGTCCGGAACATTTTTCGATCGAATGATTTTGATTGGAGCCAAGATTCAGCGCTGAGAGCAGCGGTTTACACTTTTGTGTCCGCTTTCAGCAAAAAAAAAGTTATCGGATGTTGCACATGCATTCCTCAACACACCCCCACACATCAATCAAATAAAAGCGATTTTTATTTTGAGAACCAGAAAAAAATCCATGAGAAACAAAACGCTCGATGTTGCGATGGATCAGAAGATCTTGACCGCTCGAGCCACATTTTAGAAGTGAAAGCAAATCAGAAATTTATAAAGATACCCAGAATGTTGTGAATATCATAATGATCAAGTTGACTTTGGTGTGTCAGGAGGAAAAAAAGATAATATAAATAAATAAATAAATGAAGTGATAAGGTATGTGAGAAGATTAAAGTTCAGTGTGAGTGTCTTCTTCAGGATCGGAAATCACATTTTCAGAACGGGAGTTTCCAGAGATGACCTCTCGGATCTCGTCATCGTATGTTTTCCATTCTCCGATGATTCTGGTAGCAGAGTCCAATTTTGGCTCCTTGGTCAGAGGGTTGTTACACTGAAATTATAATTGGTTGAATAAAAACTTCAATTTTAAGGTTTCAAACTCACCAAATCAATAGTCTTGGCATTCTTCTTACTGGCATCATCACACCATGTCTCACACCAGAGCCATTCCTGTGGGAGAGACTTGATCTTAACCTGATGGATCATGTTGTTGGGTAAGTCTTGATCCAAGTTTGCCAAACTGTTCGGGTCACCAGAGAGTCCTTGATATTGTCCACGAAGACGGTCACCAGCGGCAATTTGTCGGAACTTCTGGAGATCAATAACGTAGAGAGCACTAATATGATAGCGTCGGCCAGCGAGATGATTCGCCCAGTATCCTTGCTTCCAGAACCGGAATCCATCCATCTCCTTTCTGCTCTCACAGAACGGCACATATCCATATGGAGCGTTTCCAAGGTCAAACTTCATCAACTCCATCAAATCGGCACGAACCACTTGGTCAGCGTCCACAAAGATAACCTTTCCGACGTCAAGTGGGAAGAGCACATCAAGGAAGAGAATCTTGAATCCCCACATAATACGTTGCTTTTCCTTTTGTTGGTGAAGCCATCTTGGCCACTTGTATTCGACAAGCTCGTACTCGAAGTCATAGTGCTTGGCAAGAGTTGGAAGGGTCTCCTTGAACTGTGGGGAGAGATAGTTCTTGAGAAGCCAGAATTTGACGGGATGCTTAGTGTTCTTCATAACCGACACAATCATGATTCTCATGAAACGCTCGTACAAGTGTCCAGATGCCAAAGAGAAGACGTTGATGACCTCTTGTGGTTTTTCTTTACTGGATACTAGGCTGAAAAAAAACACGATAAATTTAAATCTACATGATGGTCATAATTCACTTGCTAAGACTGCTCCAAACTCCTTCTTCATCATCGGCCAACAAATTTCTCTCTTCCATGCCCTCTCGTTTTTCAACACGAACTCTGACAGATTTTCCAGTAAACGAATCGATGACAACTTGAAGTGTGTCATCTCCAATCTTTTCAGCTCCCACATGAGATCCAATTCTGTAGATCTCACTTGACTTTCCTTCACGAATCTCCAATTTCCATGCTCCTGGGTTTGCCTTAAGTTGGAAGTATCCGAGATTAGCCATGACGATGGTGTCAAACTGTTTGGGGTTCTTGTCAGTTCCGAGAACAAATTGAAGTCCTCTTGGTGGTTGCCCGCTCACTTCGTCAAAGCATTGTCCTTCGAGAAGGAGGTGTTGAAGAGCGAAGACAGCGACAACGTCTCCGGATGCTTGCTCCATCTTAATGTTGTCCAAATCGTACTTGGCAGAGACAGCCTCGACAATCCATGAGTCTGGAGCTTGGAGAGACAGCGTGAGAAGTTGCTTGCTGGGCAAGTTGTCGAATCTGAACAAAAATTATTTCGAGAGCTTAATATTTTCAATTATTACCTGACAACATTGGTGTTGAGCTTTCCAGTATGATCGAAGCTCAACTCTGAAGCGGCAGCATATCTGTAGAATCTCTTGAGCGGCAGCTCAGAGTGCTTGTCCTTCGGGTTCATGATCAGTTTGATATCACAGTTTGTCACTTTCTTGATCAATTGGAGAATTGTTCCCAGTTTCTGTGCTTCCAAGGTGAGTGGATCCACAACAGCAAACACATCAACAGCAGGTTTCTCAACTTCATCGGCTGGAAGAGTGACCACGCTGTGTTCATCTCCCTTGATGCTAACCCATGTTCTTTTTTGAGATGATGCATGCTTTCCAACAAGACCTCCAATAGAGAAAGCGACATTGGATCCCGCACCGTTGGCTGAAGCAAACTCCCATTTGTTGAGATGAGATGAGATGACTTCAGCTCCTCGGTTGAGAAGCATGCTTTCGAGAAGCTTGAAATCAGCAGCATCGAAGTGTTCATCTTTATCCAATGGTCCAACTTGAAGGGCGTTTCCGACCACAACACGATCTCCGGCAGAAATGCTGAGAAGGTTTTGAACGAGGGCTGCTTCGACACGAGTGCGTTCACAGTCCGTTTTCTTCTTATCCGCCAAGAATTTAGCGGTATCCATTCCTCCAACGCTGAGATCATCGAATGTCATCTTGCCGGAGAGGAAATCAGCTGCGTATTCTTCATTAGAGAGCTTGAGAATGAGACGTTTGGCTTGATCCATTGGCAAGTGTTCCAAAGCGGCACGGATGTATGAAGAGATGCTGTTGGCGCCACAACTCTTTTCCACATTTTCTGGGTTGAGAACGATTCCGACTCTGGCTTTGACAGAGTTTTTGAGAATTTGAAGCGAGTTGTAGATGAAACGACGTCCCTCAACAGACTCGGCATCGGCTACTGTCCATAAGGTAACAGGCTGAAAAAAGCAGGATTAGAAACAGTTACGAAGTATTCTTTGTACCAGGATGGCGTCGGTTGCAGCTTTCTGGAGGTATTTTGTAGTCTGAAGAAGACAAGCTGCCTTGTCAGCGTCGGAGAAGGTCTCCCATCCTTTCAACGTCTTGCAATTCTTGGATCCCAACAAATCAACGTAGACTTTCTTACTTGGAGCCGACAAAATTCTCTTATTGATTCTTGGCATGACCTCCTTCTGATCGAGCACCCAATTTCCTACGTTCATTCTGTCAGTAAGCTTTCCTTCCATAATAGCTCTTTGAATCTTTGGAGAGATCTTCATCACTTCCATCATAATAGTTTCCTCGATATTGTCGCCACGAACACCTTCCTCGTCTAGGATAAATCCATTGAGAAGAACTTTTGGTGCAGAATTGAGGCCGGTCTTTTGAAGGAACTCATACCCATGCTTGCGTCCCTTGTCATAGTCAGAGTCAGCTCCAAACACTTCCTTGAAGTTGGCATCTCCATACTTTGCTTCGAAGAACTCCTTCAAATCAGCGACAGTTGGCTCTTGGGAGCGGTATCCGTCGAGGAAGTTGTTCAAAACTTTGAGTGCCTCCGCGTTGGACGAATCGATAGCGACAAAATTGAACAAGTTGAGAAGGGCAACCCCAAGATCGTTCTCTCCGCTTGCCTTTGAGTCTTGGTTAACAGCGAAGATGTATCCGATTCTCATTGCAATGTCGTGACTATTAAACGTTTGTCCGATACGAAGGAACTTTCGGCCGTCGGAAGTGCTTGGGTCCACAACGAAGACCAAACTGAACAAGTTGCGAGCGATTGGACGGATCATTCCAGGATAGTAAGGCTGAAGCATCAGCTTCACACTGTTTCCCCATTGCTTGTACTTCTTGTCAGTGTCGAGGTTGTTAATGAACTGGAAATCGAATGGTTAGGAAAACACGATGTCAATAGCATTACTCACGAATGGGTATCCTTCTCTGTGATCGACTGCGTAGCTGGCTTTTTCTTCGTCGGAGGTGTCCATGCCAACTAGAACTGAGAGGTACTCGCGCTGTAAATTCATTAGTCAATAATCTGGTATGTCACTATTTCTAACGTTAATGCCCATGCTATGAAATCCTTCAGCTAGTTTATTCTCTTGCTTCAGCATATCAGCAAGCTTGAACAAATCCAAACTGTTGATGTCTTGGTTGATTCCATTAATGTACAAAGACGTCTCTCCAACATCAATTCCTGACTCCTCGAGTATCTTGCGATTCAGGAGAACTTCCTTGCGGAGTTTCTCGTTGACAGTGGTCTTTGCAAGTGCGCGAGCGTGGGTCGGGAAGTTTTGAGAGTACTCTTCAAGGGTTCCAAGCGCTTCGGCTGGTCCGGCATTCACGATTTTCTGAGCGGCTTGGTAGCTAAGATCTTGTAACTCCCACCTCTTCAAAGGAGTGAGCTCGTCAGATTCTTTGAGGTTGACACGGAAAGATTCGATAGCTTCCACAGAGTCCTGGTGAAGCTCCTTGAGCAGCTTAATGTTGAAACCAAAGAGATCGGTCTCATCCTCCTCGACACTTTTCTTCTCATTGCTCTCATCGACAGCCTTGTACTCGGTGTTCTTGATGGCCAGCTCGACTCCATATCCGGAAAGAGAGACTGCGTTTTGCTCGACGTGCTGTAAGAAGAGATGTTTTTAGTGGTAGAACTCTTAAGCTGGCTTACCTTAGAGAAGTGACGGAAGATAAGTCCAGTTTTTTGGCTCTTGGTGAGTTTCTGCCATGCCTTAGCAAACGAGGTGGTTCCGAGCTCTCCATAAAGAATAACGACTTTCTTTGACTTCTTGTCTCCTACAAAATGATCCGACTCCAAAACGTGACTGGCCTTCTTCGCGTCTCTGATGAGATGCTCGAATTTGTCGTAGTCACAAGAAACTTGCTCGCCGACAACAGCAAATACTGGACAGTTCTCTCCATATTCCGCAGCCATCTGAACAAGTTTTTATATTTATTAGAAACCGGACAGTGATGCTAACCTGTTGGAAAGCCTGAACTCGTGGAGAGTATTGACGAAGAGCGAGGGCAAACTTCAGAAGATCGGCCGAAGATGAAGAAATCACTTTTGCCGCTGTCTTAATGGTGTAATCGTATTTCTGCTCGTCGGTCACTGAAAAAGGGATAAATTGTATCCACGTTGGATGGTGATTCCTTACAAGTCTCCCATTTGAGCGTAGAAGCATCATTATTGATAATTTCCACAAATTTCCAAAACTGCTTATCGCCCTCTTCGGCAATGAACTCACTGCAAAATTCAATGTATTTTTTTCGACCTTTAAGGCTCAAAATCTTACCTGGCTTCCGCTAATAATGATGTAGAGTCCCAACTAGCTTTTAGTGACGTCTGAACTCCTTTTTTCTCCGCAGCGACCACCAACGCCGCTTGGCAGATGATTAATAGTGAACCAAAAAGGTTCATAACTACCTGGAAAGATGAATAAAAAATTAAGAGAGAAAAATTGAGCAAAAAAGTGGTAAATGAGCTGGAGAAAATGATTGTTTTGAATACAAAATGATTGGAAATAGAGAAATGCGCCTTATGCTGACGTAGGTTACGTGAGATGCGTCAGTGAAAATTGTTTGCGCGTTTTGCGTGCGCGCACTAAAGAGTGGGCAAAAAAGAGGGGAGAACGCGCGTTGCGTGGCACACCGTCAATTCAAACAAAAGGAATAGTTGAATGCATTAGGACAGCAGGAGGAGATGGTCCGTATGCGGACAGTGCTGATAGATGACGACAGGGGAGGGTCAACATAGATTACATAAGGACCACTCAGGTCTCAAGATCGTATCGGCGTAGGTCTTTGTTGAACAGCGATGGAGAGAATAAGAATAAAAGAACGATGAGATTCAAGTATTACAATTTTATTTCAGCAAGAATAAACGATCACAGACATCACGCTGCTGGTGGACAAGAATTTTTGGATGGTGACACAAAAGAATAGATCAACAGAGATCATTCAAAGGAAATTTTACTTAGGGACATGGAATTTCGGGCAAAGATTAGGACAAATAGAAAAAAATTGAGTGGAGAAAATGATAGGAACGTTTTGAAGGAAATGGGTGGAACGAGTAGAAAACAGTTAACAAAATTGAAGACAAGATTTAGATTTCAATTAAAATTTCATCTTTGATTTCATCGTCTTCGGCACTATCGTAGTCGTCCTCTTCCTCATCTGAAACCTTCTCCCAATCACTATCCGAGCTCTCATCTGGTTTATTTGGCAATACTCTAACGTGGGGCTTCTCTTGGACTTCTTTTGGAATAGCTTGATAGAGTTGTCCAGCAAGAGCAGCGTAGATTTCAATGATGCAAGTGATAATAAAGATGTTGTAGTAGAAGTGGTACAGCCAGCTATCCTGAAAAAAAAGCAAAACGTTGACATAATTTGTCTTTTCCGAAAGAAACTCACACTTGGGGTGGTGAATTTGAAAAAAAAGTATGTAGCAGGGCAGACAAAAAGTGGAATGCTGAATTGAATGTACGATGTCGTGTAGACGTCTTCCATTCTGTGTGAGACGAAGAACATGAAGCACGATGTCATGAACACGTTGGAGATTGCGAAGACGTTGAAGGAGCGCTGAACAATAATTTTTAATTATTTATGAGAGTATGGAATCAACTCACTTGTCTCTCCCAACCAATATTCCAAAAAATGATTTGAGCTCCGATAGAGACAAAAATAATCATAAGGAGTCCCATGATGTACCCCCGTTTTTCCTTTGTAGGCAACGGGCGAACTTTTTGATGCTCAATATCCGACCCCTTCGGAACAGTGGCAGTGCACATGAATAAGTTGAAGATGATGAATACGAAGGGAGAAAAATAGAATTTCTCCGTATCCAACAAGTGCAACTCGTGGATTGGCTTTCCACCCATGAAAACGATTGTCGTCGTCAAGATGAGCATGACACCAATCACCGTGACATTGGAAGATTGTAACTTTGTCATTGCTTTTTTCTCGACTGGGCAATACGTTCTCGAGTGGGCAGAAGGCCGGGAGAGAATGAGTATAGCAGCAGCCGTTGCCAAGATTCGCGCAGAGGTTGGCAGAACGGGTCAGGTCAAGACATAGAAAGGGGGAGGAGAGACTGTTCGGCCAGACGACGTGGTGTGGTTTGGCCGACTGCCAGCGACACAAAGAGATAGCAAGAGAGTCGAGAGTGTGGTGTGGTGTCTATCGAGATAATAATTGCCAATCGATTCAGAAATTTTTTCCGTAGAATGCGTCTGTAAGCCGCCAGGGGGTCCAAAAGTGATTAGCAGAAGCTCTAGGCAGGTGTTGCTCGCTTTCAGAGGGGCGAATAGAGACGAAAATATGGCATATATGAACAACAAAACAAAACCCCGCGAGTTTTAAGACGTATAATTTCATTCAAAGAAATCGAATCAGAGTGTGGTAGCCAAAACAACAGGGAGAAAGGAAAGACCAAATATTTATGAGTTTCGTTTTGAGATTAAAGTTTTTTTTTTTTAATTTGTGCAATAAAATATCAGAAAATTCAAAAATGAATCAAAAAATGAATTCAAAGAACATGTAAAAGGTCACTAAACAGTTTGCAACAAAAAAGAATATACTGAATAAAATATCGGCCCACGAGAAAAACCTCTGCCAGATTATTCGATTCTTCTCTGTTGACTCCTGCTCGTCGAGATACCTCTTGATTTCTTCCATACAAAACCTGAGCTCTTGCACTAAATCAGCTGGTTTTGAGCAGAAATCTTCTTCTATCTGAAAATTCTGTTTGTTAGATATTTTGATAATGGGTAGGGGGCAGTGTTCTTACTTCTTCAAGAGACATTTTGCATTCATCCGAAAACAATTTGTACACCCAATAAGGAGGTGTTGCGTCAAGATATAACATTCTTTCGTGTGCAAATATGATCACCACAGAGACCAAAACGGCTATCACGGATATTACAAACTCGATTAAAACATACATTCCTGGAATTCAAAATTGAAACCAAGATCCTATATAATATCTGAAAACCTAGCAATGGAATTCCTTCTGCACTTCTAGGCATCTGCCCTGTTACCATATCCAAAATGACTGCCATCGTCAGCATTGTAGTCAACCCCAAAGACACCTATAAAATCATTTTCTCATTCTATTTGTTTTCACAGACTACTCACATGCTCTTCTCGATCTCCATGTACTCCATGAGGTGTGAAAAGTCCCACATTAGACACAGTAACAATCAAAAATGATGGCAGAAGAATGACCACTATATAGTAAAGGGGCTTTCGACGGAGTTCCTAAAAATTATTATCAAAAGCAAAATAAAAATTTAGGAGCCATACTAGATAATAAAAAATCTCCTCGTAGACATTGAATCCACCGAGCGTGTCTCCATATTTTGTTGTCATTTTTGTAGCGTTAAACGAGACGATATCCCATTCCGAATTCTTCTAGAATATGTGGAAATTCTGCATAGGACAAAATGAACTTACGCTTTTCTTGGGTACAAAAGTGTCAAGCACATTGAAACTGATAGCATGAGCTTGATAGGACCAAGAGCCGAATTGTAAAGCACATAGCTGCACATCGAATGGAAAAGACAAAACCGACATAGGACAGGTTAAGTCAACAAGCTGAAATTTTTGTAGTTATTGTTTTCTGTAAAAATTATTGTTTTCTGTTTTCTGTACTTCTCGTTTTACAGAGGAATCTGAACACCTTGTAAACCCAAATTTTTATATCAGTTTCAGTATCACAATTTGCAATCTGAAACAGCAATTTTTGAAAACAAATTTTCTATATTCTGAGACGTTTTAAAACATGAAATTTGCTGTATCATACTAGGAATTGAAAACACAATTTTGTATCAAAACTGATATAGCTTGTCTGCAACTGGTGAATGGACTCTAAAATTTTCGATAAATAATCTGAGATTTTTATCAAATTAAGGTTTGAAACGTGTTGAGGTTTCCTAGTTAGAATACATCCGAAAATTTCGAAATTTCGGTCACCCACCTTATTAAAATCCACCTCCACTCGTCCATCATATCTAACTCTCGCATTATGATTCTCCAGAGGTTCTGTTTCCTCCACTCTGAAAAAAATATTTATTATTATTTTTTCGATCTTTTCCTCTCAAGACTGACGTATTGAAAATATATCCATCCGGAATCCATATTTGGGACTTTGGAATTTAATTCGTTCAATTCCATTCCAATCTTTTGGATCCCAAGTCAAATAGTCGTCTTTCCAACTTTGAGGGAACCAGAGCAATATTTTGATTTGCTCGTTTTGTTCGTTCTGAAAATAATTGAGAAGTTTTTCTGACCAAATTTCTTTTTCTTCACCCATGTACCGTATTTGCTTCTATAAATCCAATCCGTGAACTTTGAGCTCAATTATCTTTATTTTCTGTCAGAAGATATCAAAAAGTTGTTGACTGCTCAGACAAGAACAAAGTTCCTGCCGGGGGGTTAAGAAGGATGCCGGCAGGCTATTGAAGTGGTGGCAGGAGAAAGTACCTGCCGGGGGGCTAAACGACACTCCGCTCGCCGGGATTTATTTTATTATTTTGTTTTAAAGCTAAAATTGATTATGTCTATTATTTTACTAAATTACTTTTACGAGGTATATAAAATTATTTGTTCCGACACTGTGTACATTCTGAAAAGGAAAAGTATTGCTCCGACATTGCAAATTTCCTTATATTTTTCAGAATGTCCCAAAATGACTCCTCAAACACCTCGCGGCCGTTTCTGCAACAATGGATCTGTGTCTACGTTTCCTCCTCCAACAGGTATTTATACCATAATTTATCAGTTAAAAAAACTTTACAGGATCTCATTCGAAAAACGACAAATCGGGAACTACCCTCAACAAATCTGGAAATACCCTCACAACTACCCTCACCGGTGAACAAAACAATATAGAGAATTCAGGATTTTAAATTATCTATTCCAGATCGGCTCTTGGTAACTAAATGATGTCAATTTTCGAGTAAGTTTGCAAAAAAAAACAGAAAGATTAATGAGAACAGTTTAAAGGTCTCCGGCGAATGGATTCAAGGATACATGACTAAAGAGAAAAATGCCAAGAAGATTGTCAAATCTTTCATGACTCATATTCTGATGAATGTGAGTTATTTCTGGTATATGTTTAAAACAACCAAAAATTCATATGCTTCCAGATAACTTCACCACCGGAGAACATCAAAAAGTTTCCAATCCGGACATCTCGCAACACAAAGAGTGGATATGAGGAGCTGCCAGCGGATGTGACACACGAAATTATAAGTATGTCTCGAAAGGTTCAGAATATCTATAAAAATTACTTTGTTTACAGGACTAGCAAAAGAGGGACAAGGCTTTCATCCCTGAAATCCAACGTCTCAACAAATGGAATCGTATCCGAACTCATGTCGTTGAAGAACGGAGTTCCTAGGTTGAAGATCGAAGATTAATCATATAACTCATAGTGGTACAGGTTTTCAAAGACGTACCCGATCACTGAAACCATGAAAGTTTGTTGAAAGTGGGAGTGTTCAGCAGCAGAAATTCGAATGCGGAGCCCCGAATGGAACGAATTCATCAAAGATTCATCGTCAATTTAGTATGTTTTCCACTGAATTTTTTGTTCATTGACTTTGGAATCTTTTTCCAGTTATCGAGCTCTTGTGCGAAATCAGCCGTTCCAGTCTACATCATCTTCGCATCCGGGTCCGCAGAAGAGTCAAATGCATTTTATGACATTTCGAAAAAGGAGAAATACTACAGGATTTGGATCTGTATGCTTATTCATGATTCGAGGAGGCCAGAGCTACGTGCTCATAGAAGAATATAGATCAGCAGCTGCTCTAAGACTTGATTTTTCAAAATTAGCTCGGAACACGCAACGTTTGGCTAGGTCAACTAAACTTTTTGCTGACAATAATTGTGACTCTCATATAGTTAAATGCACTAACCTAATTGGTCTCACATTGATCCCCACTTCTGATGTTTTATCTCCTTTCCTATCAATCCAGTTTGATGGAAACACTTATTTCTGCCCCATTCGTTACTCCCCCAGTGTTGTTAGATAATAATAATTTCTTTTGATAATAAAAACTTATATTTTGTTAATATTCTCATTTGATTTTTATAAAAAAAAGGCAAACTAAAAAAAAAAGTCCCTGCCGCTGCCCTGCGGCAGGAACTTCCCTTAACCCCCCGGCGGGAACTTTATTCTTAACTGAGTGATAAAATCTTGATAACATTATGATATATAATTTATCTGTAGACGAATTTTTGATATCTTCCGCAGGAATCAATATAACTGAGCTCACGGTGAAATGATAAGGATTTTTCAATTACAGGTTTTAAACTAGTGGTTTTATTATGATAAATTGTATTTGTGAAATTTTTCAAAAAATTATTCCAACTTTTCTTTTGAAATGTTTCCAAGTTTTGAATTCTAATTTGAAGAATCGGTTTTGATCAATTTTAAAAATTTTCAAACTTTGGTTTCTCAAGATTGCCTTATTTCGAGTAACAACCGTATTCCCTCTAATAGGAGCTTATCGTGTACTTTGAGCTTAATTATCTCAATTTCTGTGAATATTATATATATTTCTATTTGACGAATTTTTGATATTTGTTACAGGGATTGAAATAATTGAGCTTGAAGCTGACTGTTTGTGTAGGCTTCGAGTACAGGAAATCCTAACAGGTGTTAATACTCACCACCTCCACCAAGTTGTAAATTTGTGGCTGCACTGTCACATTGAGCACACTGGAATAATTGCGGACCGGTCGTGTATACTGGTAATAATCACTGAGTAAATGTTTTGCCAATTCTCTCTCGTTTCTGTCCTCTTTCTGTTCTACCACCACTGCTTCGTTGGCTTTTTCTGGAAATGTTTGTTGTTTTTATTGCTCAGGTTTTGCATGAATATGATTCATGATTTTGAGAGGTTCCTTGTAATTCACTCAGTGTGGATAAAAATTATTGGGTGGCCAGTAGGAGTCTACCTCAGATTTGTTTGAGTACCGAATTTTTTCTGCCGAAAAGTGCGGAGGATAGACTAGAGTTAAGAGATAGAGTTATGTGTTATGCTCTGATGACAGATTTTATAACAAGTTTCAATTTTTGAAAGCCATGACATCATTTTAACAAACAATCTTAATTCTACAAACCCTGGAACTATACCAAAAAACTCACCGCATATAACGAAAAATGATAAAATACTGATAAATAAAAGATGAGAGATTCTGCTGTACATGTATATGGAGTAAGTGAGAACAAAAATGGAAGATGATCAGAATAAGTAGTATAGACAGATAATATTCAACTTTGAGAAAATTGAAGAATTCGCAATTTTATTCCTAAGCTCTAGTGAAAGACGGTATATCGCAGCCAAAGAATAATCGTCTTGTTCAACACGCGATTTATTTGCTTTGGATGAAGTATTTGACTGTGGGAATATTGACCTTAGATTTCTTTCTCCTCTCGTTTTTTTTCCTTCTGCCAATCTTCATCTTAAAGTGGTACACCACGCCGAATTGTTACGGTTTTGTTAGGTCGTTGGACGAGATTTGAGTGGTTGTTTCTCAGTCCATTCGTGCCGTCGAAATGTTTTGCTTTGGCAGCGAGATCCAAAGATGATAAAAGGAAAAGAGAGAAAGTTTGTAGAGTCAAGAGCGTGAAGCAAAAAATATTAACTTTGAGAGTATGACTAACAAAAGTTATAAATTGACATTTTGAGCGATAGAGGTAGAAAACCATATTCACGAAAACTTTCCACTTACCGTAAATCCTGAATTAGAAGGGCCGGTAATTGTAGTGTTCCAAGGTACGGAGGGCTCTTCTATCACAGGGACCCTTCAATCAAAGACAGTCCTTCCATTCGTACATTATTTTCCAACATTGTTCATCGAAAAGATCGTTGTCATCTTCATACTTGTAAAATTCAGGGCCGGCCCGCCAAAGCCCGGGCCCGGACCGGACCTGAGGAAATTTTCAAGGCCCGGGCCCGGCCCTGCCCAGCCCGTTACAAGTATGGTCATCTTGTTCAAAATCCATTGTGCAAAAAGTTCTGTTTCAATGAACTTTTGTAAAATCGTGGAATTTTCCGAATATTTTTTTTTGAAAACGTACGGAAATGTTTAATTTCAAACAACATGTTTTGATGGGGTTCCTTCAATTACAGAAATTTTTAGTTTCATGTGCATCTTTTGGAGAGCATTGCTATTTAAGGAGCCCTTCTATCGAAGAATTTCGAGCAATCTAGAACCAAATGTCCACTTTTTCAAACTGCAAAATCTGATTTCCCATACCATTCGACTCAAATCTGACAGATGAGTTATCACACTGCCCCCTCATCATCTTATCGAAATGTGTCATGTCGAACAACCAATTATTTTTTGGCATGGAACGGTAGCACCTAATTGTTACTATCTAGATCTTCTGGGACTATTTAATTGCTGCTTAGCTCCTGAGGTGACCGGTGTGTTAGCCTTTGAGTTGTGAATTAGATACGTAATCTAGGACTGAACAGATGGGAGAGACTTATAATTCTAATTATTCGTTCGGAAACACCATGACTGTTTACTTAACCTACGCAGAGCCGCCAATTTTTAGCAACGCTAATTTTCGACGATTTTTTTCAGCGAAGTGACGGGCTGGGTGTCAGCAGTCGTTTTCATATTGCATTCAATGAACCAATCTGAAATGTGTATTACGAAATAATATTTTGTTCGAGGTTAACATTTAAATATCATAAAATCAGATTTATTGAATAAAATTCGAACACTTGTAATTTATCCCAGTCAACTTGGAATATTTGAAACTTCAAAAATAGAAAGAATTTGTACAGAAAAATTTCAATTTTGAAGATGAATGTAAGGAAGAGAATACATCAAAATTGAGTCTTAAGAGATTTCAACATAATCCAGACCTCCGTTTGAAAATGTTCGCTTCTTCGTATATGACCTTTATATTCTATATCAGTTTTCCAAGAGTCACAAATGATTCTCGATCTTTGTTTGTTGTAGGTTTCATGTAAATCCAAAAATTCGTTTTTCTTAATGCTTATTGCACATTTCAAGTCAAGGAACATTACCCTCAAGCGGTACATCTCATGGGTAAAATTGAAGTTTTTATGAGTTTTCTTTTCCAATCTTTCAATGAAATGTTGAAGTTCTCTCCTGAATTCATGCATCGATTCTATACTCTCTTGTTTGGTATGATAAACTTCCGAATTGATGTCATCTATGAATTTGGCAGTGTCATCTGAATTTTTCAAAAATGATAGACAGAGAAGTGAAAACCCAAACTCACGAATTGATGCTTTCACGATGCTACGCAGGATTGTGTGCATTCGATCCTGTTCATTTCCAGTTAAGTTTGGATCTGAAACTATGTTACCAATCAGTTTTCATAATTTTCAATCTCACTTGATTCCAGAAAAAGTTCTCTCATTTGACAGATGAAATATCCCAATTTTCGAGGATTGTCCGGATTGAATTTTGCATCTTCACGCACAACTTGAGCCATTGATGTTTGATTGAAAAATGAAAACAATTATCTGAAGACGAAATTAAGGAGTAATTGTCTTAGCCTCGTATGAAATAAAGATATTAAATAGGGGAAACCCTGCAAAAAATTAATTCAAAAAATTATGTTTAGAATGGGTTGTTTTATTTGAAGCCAATTGGAAAATTGTGCTGAATGAAATATGAATGGTATGAAAAAAAAAATTGGGTAATTATTTGGAGTCTCCGTATTAGCTTAAGTAACAACTCAGCCTATATGTGAACTTCGATCTCAATTATCTCTGGTCCTATGAGACATATCAAAAATGTGTCAATTGATAAATTACAGATGATAATATGATGCATAGTTTATCAGTTGACGACTTTTTTATACCCTTCAGAGGAACTGAGATAATTGAGCTCAAAGTGCACGTATAGAATGGACGTTTATTAGAGCAAATACGGTGAGTAATTTATTGAATAAGCATACAATATTCAGTGTGAATAATCGAGAAATTATATGTGTGAGAGTGAATGTGAACGTCAAAAAACGGGCAATAAAATTGTAAAGCTTGCATTTGTGAAGAAACAAAGGACAAAATTTAGTTAATTCTTTTCCGCATTTAGATCTGAAATTTAAAAAAAGAGTAGTTTTACAGATTGGTGCAGACACAATTTCTCGGTTTTGTGTGAAGCTCACGCAGGAAATTTTGAAACGGAAAAATTTTTTTTGCCTATAGAATGACCTCGAAGGCCGTCAACTTTGAGCCAAAATATCTTAGTTTTTGTGAAAGATATTAAATAATATTCAATTGATTATATGTTTTTGATATTATCATGAACTTTTTGTTGTTTCAAAATTCTTTGATATCTTTCACAGAAACCGAGATAAATTGGCTCAAATTTGACGGTTAAAGCAATCATTCCATTGCAGTAGTTGCGGTGAGTGCCATAAACAGTATTCACTATTATTCAGCTTATAGGTTTTTGTACAGGCAAGCTGGAATGAGAGGGTTGAGAGGAAAAAAACATTAATTTAAAAACCCGTACATTAGTTTCAATTTTCGAACAACTCGAAATATCAGAAACTTCATCTGGACTACTAATAAACTAACCTGTTTTAGAGCCAAATCCATTTGTAAATCCGACATTTCAAAGGTCATTTTGGTAACTTTGGCATCGTAATTTCGTTTGTCTTCGAGCATTTTTGCTTTGTGATCCTCTTCTTGTTTTTTTAATTCTTCTTTCATTTTCTTAGAGCGAGCGTCCCAGAAAGCGATCTCAGTGTGCATGTTTTCCATCTCCGTATTAACTTTCTCCAGGTCCTCATAGGAGTAAACCTTGTTTTTCTCTTTCGCTGCTTGTTTCTTTATTTTCTCAAAACGGAGTCTCCATTCTGTCACAGCCTTTTCGTGCTCGCCAGTTGTTTTATCTGTATTCTCATTTAGCTTTTTGTGGATAACTGAAACAAATATTGATGAACCGTAAAGGGAAAGGAGGGATACTCACAAACATTGTACTTGATTACACTTTTCGACAGTGTCTCTAGTCTATTCTTTTGTTCTTCTGTTGCGTTTGGTGCTGGAAATATAAATTTGGAAGACCAAATATTTGATAGGTTAAACACTTACCAAGTTCGTAGAACAACTGTTTCAACAATTTCAAATAATAAGCCGGTGGGTGTGGATTGTTTTTTCCAAACGCCTCTTCTACTTCTTTAATTTGTTCAGGTCCAAACATTTTCACTGAAACGAGAAATGCACGTAGAGTCAATCGCGGCGTACTCAGGCAAAAGGGATGGACGTAGAGAGGAAATGAGAGTAATTAATAAGAAGGTGACAAAAGAGGATTAGCAGTGCACGTATGAGTAGGACCACTATGCTCGATGCATGAGAAATTGGAAATAAGACTAACGCGCTGTTTTGCAGGTGACAAAGACCCGTGAAGGGACAGCTACTCGGCCGATTAGGTGTATGGAAGGGGCGTGTCGATGCTCAGATGTCTACCGGTTGAGCTACAAAACACATTGGATTCTTTTCGAACTCTCGTTATACTGGGTTATAAAAGAAACATTTATTCAAGAAAGGAAGTAATGGAGAATAGGGAAGTTTAGATGAGCTGCGATACTGGAGAAATATAGTTTTGATGTTATATGAGGAACATTTCAGTTGTGGCGGTCGTCTTTAAAATATGAAGAGGAGATTAAAAATCAATATCTTTGTTTTCTTTAATTTCCCGTTCTGTTTTCATATCAATATCAACTTTGAGAAGTGCCTTTTGCAGGTCACAATCGGCGAGTTCTTTTGCAAACTCATCATACAAGTCCAACTCTTGGTTCAGAAATTCAAGCTCCATCCGACTTTTTTGTATTTCCAATTGAGTGCAGACCTCTTTGAGCTCTTTGACTTGTTGTTGCAGTTTTCTGAAGTTCCAAAGCCAATCGCAGTGGGTTTGATGATGAACTGATTCAATTGAATTTATGAAAACGTCAAATTCGTTTTGAATTTTGTCAATTTCGATTCTTGCTGTGTCCTGACTCTTTTTTATCTTGAGAGCACAACATACGTTGGCTTTTTGCAATTGATCTGAAAATGAAAAAAAATCAAAAGAAAAAACTCAATTAACTTACAATTACTTGAGTGCAAAACGCCATTCTGAGCAGAAACCACCTTTTGCGCTAGAGCTTCGTCGAAGTTGGGAACTGTAAGAATGTTGTTCAGCTGGGAACTGAAAAAAAAAAAACGCTTACCGGCTTCCATGAACAGCGCCCCGGATGTTTCGAAAAAATTGTGCATACCAAATCTTTCTTCATCTTTTGAAATAGTTGGAGTTTGAGCATTGGAAGTAGACATCTGAAAATCAGTATAGTCTCCTATTCGTATCATGAAATGGTCTCTTTGGATAGAAGAATGAAAAAACAATAATAAAAATATGTAGGAGGAAATCTAAAACTCGATACGATATAAGGAAATGAAAGAGAAGCACGCACATTACGCACCTGCCAAGAAAGAAGCGGAGATTAGAACGTCGGACTGAGGAAATAGGGCATTTTGGGATGGAACGTGTATTAGAGTAATTGGAAAATTGATATAGTTTTAAGTGTGGAAGTTTTGACTCACGAAACACTTTGATCGATTAAAAAATTCAATAAAAAGAAATCAGGTGACAGTCGGAAAATATGAAGCAACGATTCGTATCTAACAATGTCGCAATATCCTTTTTCCCTAAACCGCCGGATGTGGGATTAGCGCACGTCTAAGATGTTTCAAAAAACCCCTCTCTCAAAAAAAGGACCAATTACGTGCCATCCGTACAAAACTGCCAGCTGCTCGCTTTGTTACGCTCTTATCTTAATCCCATGATGGGCCTTTTTTGAAACCGTTTCTGCCGAACAATTAGATAGCCTAATTATTGGATCGAGCTTATCTGATCCTATCTGATTCCAGTGGCGTGGGTAAATGCCTAAAAAAGAGGGCAGATGTTTGCAAGGGAAACAAGAGGTGGTTTATTTGATTCGAATGTAAAACCTATAACAAAATTTCAGAAGCAAATTCGCAACGAAAAACAATTTAGTAAAATATTGGCAATCAAATACTCAATTCTTCGGATTTCACGACAGTTTGAAAGCTTTGTTTCCAAATGTCTCGCCTCCATTTTTTCCGTGAACAGAGTACATTTCACGTTCTTCCAACTGCCGTTTTTCCAGCTAAAAAACTCATGTTCGACCAGAAATGCGGTTACAGTTTGTATTTCTCTTGGACAATTTTCGAATGCAGTTTACGATTTTTTTTGGCATTTCTCTTGAAGAGATTTTGAAATTGCAGTGCCGTCTGTTTCCATATTTATCAGCGGAAGAATGTTCTCGGTTTTGCCAGTGATGAACTTTGTCTCATTAGCTTTGAATGCTGTCTCCACGTTATCTAAAAATGCATTGAAATCGTTTAGACAGTCTCATTGCTCTCCTACAAAATTTGAAGCATTGGAGATGTTTTTCTGTTTTCGTGCTGCCAAGTCCAACTTTGTTGTCTTAGAGCGCGTTTGCAACCGTGTCCTCCGATAGCCGCCTTGTTGCCTTCGGTGGGTGTCCGCAGAGGGATCTAACTTCAAAGTAAAACTAAAGAAATTGAAAACCCAGGAATTGAGCTTCCATTTTACTGTTATGTAACTTTGGTTGAACTTTCCTGAATTTCATATGATGAGTTTTTTCTGTTATCTGTTAAGCTAGAAATTAGATGAAAGTTCACTATACACATTTATTGGATTTTTAAGTCATAATTTCTGATAGGGTAGGTCGGTAAAAAGAAAGGGGAAGGAAGAGGAAAGATGAAAGTAAAATATGCCAAAATTTAATGGAATGTTTAACGAAACTTCAAAACGAGGCAATACAAAAAAGAGGGGAAACGAGGGACAATAAGAACAAAACTGGAAAAAGGAGGATGAGATTTTTACAGATCAGACATAGCATATTGGATGGCAGTAAAAACAGCATTAAATGAAACACCTGACTTCAGTTTTTCGAACTCCAGATCTTTTTTCTTCTTCTCGAACTCGATTTCAATTTTCTTTTTCTCAAAGGCACGTTGCTTCAGTAACAATATTTCCTTAGCTCTCAAAATCAGGCCGTTTGCTCGAATGGTTTCCAGTTTCACCGTCACGAGTTGATTTTTCATTGTTTGGCTTTTTGACCTTGCAAATTGGGCTCTGGTAGCAACTTCACCTCCCACATTGGTCAGCGATTCGATGTGTTTCTTTTTAGTCGTCAAAAGTTTTGCATCGCAATCGTAAAGCTTTTTGTGGAAATCACCTGTAAATAGAGTGAGCTCAGCAATTAGTTGTTTCTTCTAATTAACTTACAAGTAGAGGCCTTCATGACGTTGTGCATAATGGAATAAAGTTCTGATTTCTGCTTTGCGTCGATGTTGGGAGCTGAAATGCTTTTAATTTGAAATTTTCCGTTGATTTCCCATTTGTATAATCGATTGCTAATAAATAAAACTAAAACCCACCACTGCTTGCGAAAGCACCCTTCATTAGAAACAAGTAGACCTGGACTGATAACAGTTCATCCGAACCAGAGATGGGGCGATCGGCATCCGGTCGCTCCATTCTGCTCAACTTGAATACTTCTGCCTGATTTAAAAAACTGAAATTATTCTGAAAAATTAGGATTTGAAAAATATTCTGTTAAAAATATCACAAGGTGAGTAACCACGCGTAGTATGAAAAATTGGAAAAAAGTCTCAATGAAGCAATGGCTCGACGAAATTTTAAAGAACAGAAGGTTAGGTGAATTGGTTATAATTGGGTTTTAGGTAAAATAACATAAAAAATAATAAGACAATTTGCCACAGAAAACGTCACGAAGTTTTACACAGAACATTTGAAGCAATTTTGCAGAAAGAAAAAAAAGCAGCTAGCTAATTTTAGAAAATTGGTGGCATGGTTTTATTAGTGGCATGGTTTCATAGCAAGTTCCATTTGCAATGCCGCCATTTCTTCATAGTGGCAAACAATCTCTCTCTCGTTTTCCACCTCCGTCTTCTTTACCAGTTCCTTGTACTCCTTTTCCTGCGCGATCAATTTGTCATCGATGGCTGCCAACTCAAACTGGAGATTCTCCATCTCCTTGACCGCTTTATCTCTTTTATACTTCGCCTCTTCCAGCGTCTCTTCAGTAGCAATACGGCCATCGCCTTCGAGAGCAAACAATTTTACAGCATCATACTCATCCATCCATTTTTTGACTTTCTCCTTATCTTTATTGATTTTTCCCTCGGTTTTGTTCTTGATCAACGTGATTGTTTCTGAAATAGGCAGGTTGGCAGGATATCAAAATGAAACTCTAGCTGAACTTACCGATATGGGTGAGAAAAAGGTTTCTCTTCATTCCTTTGAAGCTGTCGCGTTGCTCCTCAGTGGCATTTGGAGCTGGAACAGTTATATATTTTTTATGCAATTCAAACTAACTCCGAAGAGTTATTTATAACAAAAAAAAACTGGATGGAAAATGAGTTTATATTACTCATACATCTATTGTTTTGTTGTGAACAAACTGACCGATTTTGTTGAACATTGTCTCCAGACAGTTCAAGTAGAATGCAACAGGCTTCGGGTTCTCGTAGTCGAAATGGAGTGCCTGCTCCTTCAATTCATCACTGATACTCATTTCGCTCTGAAAAAAGTATAATTAGTTATGAATCTTCAAAAAAAGTGCAAAACTCTCAAACAAAGGAGTGACGGAAATGCGGGAATGTGTCACAAGCGGTCTGGTGACTATAAACACATCTGGTGGAACAATGGAGTCTTCTGGCCGGACAGGCGGACGATTTACAATCCCGACCAGGAAGCTGTGTTATTTGATATGCGAACACTTCTGGTCAATGGGTGGAGCTTTGCGAAGCGTGTCAGTCGGCTTTTTGCGGTAAAAAGAACTGTTTATAATAAATCATCAAAAGTTTTACAATGATCGGTTATCTAATCGGTCATCTGAAGAAATGCATTTTATCTGATTTTGCTCTCGGCTAGTATAACGATTCATATCAATTTTTGGCCCATTTTTGTACTGAAAAAGTGTAAAAAACAAGTGTCTTCCAGAAATCGGCAAATAGCTCAAAAACTACGAAGTTTCGAAAAAATTCATAAATGCAAAGTTCTCAATCTAGGTCTATTTTACACCCCACAAAATATTCAAAGTAGTCGGAAACCTGACAGTCGAGTTCCAGATTTTTGAAAATGGTCAAAAATAGCCGAAAATCCACTGATCAGTACTGTATATACAAACTCTGAACCTAAAAAGAGGGACTGAAATTGGATAATTAGATATACAAATTATTTATTCAGAAATATAAACAAAAATAATTATTGTAATTTAATAAAAATAATTATTGTAATTATCCATTTTGGAATAAAAAACTGAATAAACTCAGCTTGAAAAAGGTCACATGAAAAAGGAATTACATAAGGTAGAAGAAGGGGGATACAAAGAAGACGACGAAAATAAAAATATCAAGGTCCAAGGGCTACTGAAAAAATTTTTATGTTATATTAAAGGAAAACAAGAAATAATAAGACGAATCTGTTGGGTGGCGGCGGGGAAAAAATAATGCTTACAAGTGGACGAATCACCTATACAGCAGAGAAAAGTGTCTTTTAATACCTATAAAACTGTTTTCAAACCTGCTTAAGAATTCTCGAATTTGCTAAAATTTCAGTAGAAAATGGGCAATTTTCCAATTGGATTTTCTCCACTTTTAGGAGGTCTTAGGACTTGAAATTTTTTTCGGTATATTTAAAATTATGTGGGATTTTTATTTCACTTGATTTCCATGAAAAAAAACTCCGGGAAAATTATGGAAAATTTCAAAACTTGGCAACACTTTGGGTGGGCGCAAGCTTCCCAGTTTAAACTTTTTTTTCAAAAAAACATGTAAAAGTATGAAACTCCACATACAATATCCCTTCTAATCAAAGCACATGGGTTTCTATATTTCAACGTCCTTCTCAGGGTGGGCTTCTATTAGAGGTGGGCGTCAATCAGAGGGTGGGCTTCTCTTTTCAATGATTTATTTTTAAACTTTTTTTTAAATTCAGAAATTTGACAATTCAGAAAATAAGACATCTGAAATTCAGTGTTTTGGAGAATTCGAAATTTTCATTCTGAAATTCTAAATTCTAAAATTCCGAATTTATGGATGTCTGAGATTCCATGATCTCAAAATCAAAATTCAGGAATTCTGAAGTTTTGGGAAAAAATTTTAAATTCTAAAAATCTGAAATTCCGAAATTTAGAAACCAGAAAATTCAGAAACTAAGAAATTGTCAAGTTCTGAAGTTCTGAAAGTTCTGGAATTTTGAATTACCATATTTACTCTAATAGAAGCCCATGGGCTTTTATTTTTTGAAGCACCTCGCGGGGTGGGCTTCTATTAGAGGTGGTCTCCTATTAGAGCAAATACGGTAACTTTGATAATAACACAGAAGGTTTCAAGTCATAAAACCTTCCAGGAGTGGAGAAAATCTAATTTGAAAACTGCCGATTTTCTACAGAAAAGTTATTTTTTCATAGTTGCAAAAGACCGGGCCGGGCCGCCTACTACAGTTGAAAAATTTCTAATGAAAAATTGGGTAATTTTTTTGAATTAAAAAAAGTTACATTCTTCAAGAAAGTAGAAAGTAGTCAGAAATAGGTCGTTTTTGTTCAAATTTTTGAAAAATGGTTCGAAAATTTCGAAAAAAAATAATAAAAAAATCAGCGTCTGTACAAACCCCGGGCCGGCCCGAGATTTCGCAACTATGTATTTTTTGGTACTGAAACTGAAATTTCAGTACTTTAGAGGCTTTTTGAATAGATTTTGAAAACGGGTACGAAATATCAATATTATGTTCGCTTATTCCTTGTCGTTAACCAGTGAGAGAGCCAACATATCAATAGGCATTTTCATTTTCAAGCATTCAAGATGATGATCGGTCATTTTGTTTCCAAATTCTTCAATATGCTCCAACTCTTTCTTTTGAAACAGCAAAAACTGATATTTTAAGTTTCTTTTCAGGTCTTCATTTTCGCGACCTATCCAAACGGTTTCCAGTCGAATTTTACAAATTTCACGATGTTCTTCTGGAGTGACGATATCCACAAGCCATTCAGTTTTCTTTTCACATTCTGCCAGAGCTGCCACGTTCTCTCTTGTGTTGAGTTTTCTCCTTTCAACGCTGCGGTCGAGTTCTCCATTCTCATAATCTGAAAAATATTTGGTAATTTTCAAATTTTCACTTGAATCACTACTTACGTGTTTTTGCAGTGTGCACATTTTCCACACAACGGACAAAAACCGCAAGCTGTTCCTCAGTCGGCTTTCCTGAAAATAATGTTTTCAGTACAAAAAGCGAAAATGCATATAGAGAACACTTACCGGCATCTTTGAAAATGAAAGTCATCTGTTCCAGCATGTAATTAAATGGATGCTTGTCTTTGTCGTAAATCGGGTTGGGAGGATTTTCGCTCATTCTGAAAATATGTGGAAATCATTCTTATATAAATAAATGAAGTTGCGTGTCTCTTTCTTGGTTTGTCCGAGCACGTTGAAAAAGTTCAAATAAAATATAAATTTACGTGAACCTTTGGGTAAGACAGAGGAGCGAAGCGACGAACAGTAAAAGATATAGATTTAGTCGCGCCGAAGGCGTACCAGCCAACTGTTTGAATTGCCGGCGGCGCGGCAAACAGGCTGGTTGGAAAAAAAAATCAGAAACACTAGCAATTCCTAGAAGCTAGACAGCCAGAAACAGAAGTCATCTCTGGAAGAGGCGGTTCCTTAAGTTTTTACAAGCCGTTTTTTTATGAGCAGTCGTGTAATTGAATACCTCTCCAGCGGCAGCATAAAAGAATCAGGAGGAAGGGACCATGGATGGCCGGCCTGCGCTCCAAAATGATTTATGACGTGTCGTCTGTTTATTATAGTTATCTGGACGTGTCAGAAGTCATAAATTAGGATAAAGTGATAAAAGAAAAGTAACATAGTTGTAAAATTACGTTCCAGGTCGATGTCGAGCAGGCCCGGCCCGCGGAACGGAGGTTCGTACAGAAACTGGTTTTCCCGAAATTCGGATAAAAAAAAATACGAGTTGGTCCGTTGCAAGTATGAAAAGAAACATATTCAAAAAAAACCATGATGTCAAGAATATTTTTCCAGTCGACTGTATTTCGATTTTTTTTCACAGGAAATGAGATATATGGGTTCAGAGAAGACGATTTGGGTGTCCTTGTGTTAGAATGTTTACGGTTACTGTTATTTAGCACTGCACCAATATAATATAACACTGTTTTTAGCAAGAAGTGGAAAAATTTTCATTTCTATTAGGTTGGCTAAAAAATAATGGTTGTTTTTATGATCAATTGAATTTTTCATAAAAAAGGAAGTAGACAAGATTAACTCAAAAGCTTTTGGCGGATGAGGGAGAACTTTTTTTCAATTTAATTTGTTTATTGATTAGGTCTAATAAAACATTAGAGGGCAAGACATGAAAGACTCAGAAAAAAATGCCCCTCACGAGGCCGATCTGACTAGGGAAGGTTGTGTGTGGGGTATGGGACTTCGTTATGAGACCTATATCATTCGAAAGCTGAAAATGAGACATTTTCAAAAATGTAATTCGATTTTGCTGCGGACTTACCATATTCAAGAAAATCGAGTTTGAAATCTCATTTTTGAAAAAGCAAAGGGGGGACCCCATGATGACTTTTTTCCAAAAAAATTTTTTTTTTGAAAAAACATGATAAACTTACAGGATCATACTGTGTTCTCTGAAACTGTTTGAAATTGTGGTTACATGCTTTTGAAAACTATTTTTGAGTCATTTTTTCAAACCACTTTTTGACTTTTGAGAATACAAAGTTATGGTTTACAAAAGATTTTGGATGTTTTTTTGATTGTGATCGCAAATTTAGAAGTTTCTGTACAATGTGACCAAGTTTAAGCGTTTTTTTTCAGAAAAAAACTTTGAAAAAAAGTTCCATGGGGTACCCCCTTGACTTTTTTTTTTGAAAATTTTTGTAAGTTTTTTTTTCGGCTGAAAAGGTATTAAACGAAAAAGAACAAGCAAATTAGGTTTTTACAAAATTTGATAACCTATTTTCTTCTCGGGATCAAGACATTTTGATTCTTTTTCTGATTTTCAACAAACCGTAGTACTACGATGATCGCCCAGTAACACTCAAAATTTGAGAAATCATAGACACAAATCATGTCTGATTGATGTGTGGCTCTTAAAACGAACCATCCTTATGAACTTTGACAAACAAAAGCTGTGTGAAAGTGTTTAGTGTTGATTAACGAAGTAGTCAAAAACTAGATATTACTTAAAACATTTAAGAAAGTACAATTTTTCAGTATCAAAATGAAATTTTTTTTGAAAAATGTGTTCGGAACATTTTGAAGATTTCCACAAAGACCGAAAACAAAAACAAAAACAAACAAAGGAGAAAGGAATCGAACCCAACCCTAGTCAGTTACCGTTCTCCCTCTTCGCCGCTACACCACCAGTCGCTGCTTTCAACTAGTTCCACAATGCATATAAGAAAGGGGGAGATCTGGCCCTCAAAATATTCGAATTTCAGCCAAATTTCAAATTCGATTTTTTCGGATCTGGAATGTGGGCAGCAAAATTTTGAATATATATGTGAAAATGTCTCATTCTCAGCTTTCGAATGATATAGGCCTCATATCAAAGTCCCATACCCCAGTTTACACCTTTCCTAGTGAGTAGGGGAAGGGAAACGGGATAATTTAGATATTTGACACAGGAAAGATGTAACCGGTAGAAAAAGAAAAATAGGGAGCAAATATATCAATAACGGGTAATACTGGAAGCAATTAAGGATTCAAACTCGGAAGGTAGGAGAAATCGGGTAACTTGGGAAGTGATGGCGTTCCACAGGGGAACAATTGAAGAAAAATAGTCAGAGGAGTAGGGCTGAACAATAATTAAGTTCATAGGGCGACGAGGGGAGGAGGAGTATTTGACATGTGCATTTAGGTTAGGAAAGTAGGCGGAGCCATTTAAAAATTTATAGAGAAGAATTAGTTGAGCTTTTAGCCTACGATGTCGAATGGAGAACATATTGAGGATAGAGAGACGATCAGAATAGGAACTGTACTGGATATTACAAACTTCCCAGCCCATTTCCTCGATTTTCTGCTGAGTGACTTTTGACACATGCGGCCGAGCATTATCATGAAGGAATTTTGTCGTTGGTGTATTCACACCTTGAAGTCTCAACGCTTGCTGCATTTGACCCAAATATCATTGATATAGTTCAGTAGTGGCTGTTAGACCTTTTTCCAGAACTTCAAAACATACAAAACCCTTGCTCTTCCACCATACACATAGCATTACTTTCTTTTCATTAATCTCTCATTTCGAGTTGTTTTGGCTGGTTCTCCGAGGGACAACCGCTGTCTATTCTTAGTAGTATTATCGTATTGAATCACTTTATCACTCGACATAACATAAGAATCGAGAAAGGCGATATTCTTCGAGAAAAGAAGGATACTTCTGATAATTGCGAGGAGGGAGCGCATTTTTTGTAACGACGTTTTCTAAACGGGATTCCCAATTGAAAAAAACAGAATGGCAAACTGAGACTATATATCAAACGATGCGCAAAAAAACGCTCTTTTGAATAGAAAAAAGGGGGAGTAAAAATGTTCTCCGGATAGAGAAATACGTTCCGACAAACACGCCACTCATTATTTTTTAGCCAACCTAATAGATAGAATTTCAGGTGACAAGAGAATTGAAAGTTATTTCAAACTTGATAGAAATTATAACTATTTTCAGATAAATATTATAAAACTCTTGTGCGGGGACTGAAAAGTGGGACCCTAAAGGAAAAAGTTCTAGAAAGCGAAACACCCAGTACTGTCACGCAAAAATCTCTCGCCTCGAAAAAACGAGAAAAGTTTGTTAACACAACAACAGTTTATTAGGTAGCACAACAAAAATTTTATTAGAGTTTCAATTTCAAAGTAATTCTTGTCTGGAGTCTGTGTTCCAGAAGATCCCTCTCCAATTTTGCAATATCTTCTTTTTCTTGTTTTCTTTTGATTAGCCTCTCGTTGATTAATGACATCTTTGCTCTCTTCACGATTGCCTCATTCAAGAGTTTTGTTGCAACAGCATGTCGGCGACGTAGATGCATCTGATCAAGTTTGAGCTCCACAAGTTGCAGTTTATCAGCGTTTCTGATATCGCTGAGAAATTTCTCAATTTCTTCCATTTCCTCATTAAACACTGCATCTTGGCGGGTGGCGGCGGTTGCAATTTCTTTGTCTGCTTCCTTTTGAAGTTTTCGATTTTCATCTGAAAAATAAATTCAAATAGGAAAACGTATGTTTTGGAAAACTAACCAATTGAGACTTTCAAAATGCTGCGTTGGACAGATTTCAGCTTTTCCTGTTGATTCTCGTTCATTTTTGGAGCTGCATTCCATTCACTTATTGAATTTCAGAGTTAAAGTTTTTTGAATGAATTGGAAATTCAGAGAACTGCTCGAATTCCAGCATATATCTCGAATACTCACCTGCCTCTTCAAACAGCTTGTCGATCTCTTTCATCAGATTCTCAAATGGTTCATCGTCGTCGTTTGACATCTGAAACAGTCTGAATCTGATGAAACATGTAAAAAAATGCATAGAAAAATATGTTCAGTTGGGATGAAAACCAATAAGAGAAACACCAATAAAACATTTTCAATAGATTTTTTATTAACAATTGCAAAATGTGTTGAAGAAAAAAATCG